CATTGAGTTCATATTGCAACCACTTCATTTTTTCATGAAAATTTCGTTAAAAAATGTGTCTTTGTTTTATCTATGCATGTGCTAGGCGAGATACTTGAGCGGTCATCATCGATTTTGCGATAGTGGTCGCTGTCAAAGACGCCAGGCATACAGCAAAAATGCGGCGCTGGCCGGTGTTGAACCATGGCCTCGCGCATTCAATTCCAGTCGCTTACCTAGTTGACCAAACTGGCTCAAGTGGTTCGAGAGAGATGCCATGATGGGTGGTTTACTACGGGCCTTTGTCTTTTCGGTGCGGCTAAGTACTTATTCTATTGACTCTCACTAACACCACGGTGGATAAAGGCCTATGACGAAGACGAAATTATCGAAACATGAGGTCAATAATTCTATTGTACAAACCTTGCACTGGCATAATACCATATATCATATAACAATTACTAAATTTTTTACCAGTTACGGGTTCTATGCAAGACCAAATGAAATTTACCTAACCTATGAAAGGAGGCGGTGGGAGGGGAGGGGAATGAACTTGACATTTATGATTATCACCTACTCCTAGTCAACATCACCCAAGTAACAATGTCATCACCTTTGGTAACTAGCTGCAGACTAGACCTCAAAGTTCCACCATTACTTCTTTCCACGCCAAGTACCAAGAAAATTTCCATTTCTCACATCTTCTCTTCTCTTGAAACCTGTTTGTCAATTGCTCATTCCATTATAAATCTTTGGCATAGAGAACAAAGCAGAAGAATGGCTTCATATAAATCAGCGCATTTGGTTCATCACGTTTACACATCGCTGAAAAAGTATAAATCCGCAATGATGAAACGAGACATTTTTATGAGCGAACATTGTGCATAACAATAAACTGTTGTTGAATTCACTTCCAGTCACGCTTATTGTGTAGCTTTTTTCTTTTGAAGAGTTATATTGATGAAGTAAGTGGATGGAGGGGGTTGGTTACGTTTTGTCCCTAGATGGCGCAAAACTACCGTATCGTCTAGATAACAATTGTTAGGTGAGACCTTTGGCATATTCTTATTTTGCTTTTTGACATTTCGATGTAATTAGATTCAAAGCCCAAATGAGTGATTCATTATCGGTTTGAATGTTTTTTATGTTGTTGTATGTTCTTCTAGAAAGGAAGAATATCCATGAAGTTTCTAGAAGTATTAGTTGCTTATAAATGCTTTCCCCTTGCGATTAAACTCAATTTTTCTTGAAATTAGAACATCTATTAAAGTAATCTTTATGGGCTACTTTTTTAGCGTAAGCTAGATATACAACCGGGAGCAACTCAAGACCGTTAGAGACAAATTTTACAGCTTTGTCGACATCTTTCTTTGTTTCTCCGAGAAAAAACTCAGCGATGTCAATTAATGCTGAGGCCCTTAATATACGTTTGAAAAATTAAGAGATCTCTGAGTTTACGAAGGGCAAGAATACAATTTTCCGAGTAATCAGATTTTTTTCCAAGAAGAATATTTGTGATTATTCGTAAAGATTGCTATGCTTTATCGCACATACAATACAACTGAAGAGACTGATTGCGTTCAGTCGGAGAAGATTATGATCTGGAGAATTGCAGGCACTGTTTAGAATAAGGAAATCTCCGCGGAGTTTGCTAGTTTTCCGTACAATACAACTCATATTGGGTTCTTATACGGAAGGCTATCTGTGACTCGCCCGCAAGGGTACAGTATGGCCCGTAGTAAACCCCACTTCACTTCAGATGATCTCAACTGAGGGGCTGAGTTGAGGTATTTAAGATAAACTGACTAGCGGTCACTCTCACATGCTTAAGAATGCGACCTGATCTGAAGGGTTGTTAAGGGCATGTGCCGCGATGCATTCACCTGAAATCCGTAAGAGCAGCCTCAATTTTGACATGAATTGACCGAAATAGTGTGCAAGGGATGAGACGCAGAGAAAAATCCCGTAAGTTGCTCGTGAGTAACTTACGGGACATCGTACTTGACGTATTGTTGCAGTACAAGAACGCGCAAAACTGCACAATACCGGTGCCCAAAAAGGAAAGGATCAATGAACAGCTGATTTCGGCAAAAAAACAGAAGAATAGGTTTTTTCCTTTTTGCAAAGTTTGCTTAGGTTTCTTCTACAAAAGCTACTCAGAGCGACAATCTCTTTATTTATTTCCATTCGATTTTGTCCCTACTTCCTCAATTTTAGATGAAATTTTGGCTAAAAAAACGCAGTTTTGTTTTGTGCATTCATTTGGTTTGTGGGTTCTTTGATAGCAATCGTCATCGATTCTCTTTGATAGTAGCCGCTATCAAGGATTGCTCAGTGATGCGCAAAAATTCGCCACTGTCCGGCGCCGAACCACGGTCGTGCGGGCTGAGTATCAGCCACATACCTGTTTGACCAAACCTGCATGAGAGGTGTAGGTGTTTCCTCTTTGATAGCGCGCAAGATTTTTATGCCTGAAAAGCGATCCGCATCTAGATCAATAGCTCGCGGGATGCTAGACCCAGGCGCCATACGATCAACTCAGGTCCTTCTCAGGGCAGATCCCCTGAAGGGGGGTTTACTACGGGCCTATATAACCGAATCCCTTTTTTTGGCAAGCCTTGTTTTCGAGCATCTAAAATGAGATGGATGAACAGCGCTGAATTGAGTTCAACTTGCAGCGCAAGGGGAGTTAGGGAGTAGCTAACTCATAATAAGCATTTTAAAGAGGAAAATTCTTCCAGGATGAGATCAGGCCGCTCCTGAGTAACTTACGAAACAAGTTAGCTGGCTTTATAGTGCTATGCACTTGAGCAACAAACTACACTTTTCCCTTGCTAACAATAACAATGCTTTGACAGGAAGCAATCTTCACATCCAGATAAAGTTCTTTTGAACCATCTTTGGAATGATTCATAGACATTTCTGACTTTTCCCAGTTGCATGCACGTAGCGTCGATTCAATAGGAGAAATGTTTGGAGTTTGCCACGATTGAACCTGGACTGATTAGCAGTAGGGTTGATTGAGGCTCAAAACAAACTTAATCAGGACAGCTCTACTAGGTGTCAGGGTTTTACCCCATGAATGGGCTCTAAGCGGTAACTTCACTTTCACTGCATTGCATTCGTCCTTTGTCGAGAAGGAAAACCCTTTGCAACACTATTTACGAAACTGTTTTACTGCATTGATACCAGTTCCAGTATTCATTGCCGTGACATTACACACCTGCTCGACCTGCTAACTTATGCATTTACTTTCACCATAATTGACTATCTCAACAAAGAGCTTTTTCCATAGACATTGCTGACTGCACTATGTTAAGAACGTGCGCGTGCAGAAAGACCTTATACTCTATTATATTCGTGCTCTAAAGCAAGTCTCAGCTCTACCACTTTCTTTCTCCTGGAAAATGCAGCGCTCTGTCACTCGCAGCTTCTCTTAACACTACAACTAGCAATTTTTGGGGCAAACGTCATATTTCAACCATTTCAGTTTTTCATATTGTTTTCTAAGTATCGCCGTTTCCAAGTATACAAATAGCTTTCTTGGGCTCGTACGCACATACTCCCCTTGGGGAGGGGAGGGGATCTGAGAAGGGAGGCGCGATCTCGCTATTCTAGATATCTTTCTTTTTCTTTCTCTAAGTGGTTTATGAAGGCTCTCATATCCTCATAGCGCATAACAGATGCCAGGTTGCTGCCATACAAGATTAATTTTTACTATTTTGTGTGGCTATGAAGCTATGCTAAAGTCTCATTCATTTCTGTGGAAAAAGAGCAGCGGATTTTGTTGAGATCACCCAGCAAAATCACTGTATGTTTGAGAGAGAACTTTGGACAAAGTACAATTTAAAATTATGAACTAAACTTTAGTTCCTCTGCTACACTAAACTGTTACATTTTCAAAAGCGGCACCTTCTAGAAGAATTTCAGGTATGATACGAACTAGCAGCGACAATTGCCTCATCGTGGCAGACAAATGCAACAAAACTAAAGGGTCCCAAAACCCAAATATGAAGCGCATGAGGTCAGAAACTTCCCGAACCCAGTATTGGCGTATAGTAATATTCACGCTCGAAATCTTATTTATTTATTTATTCATTTAATACGCAAAAAGCATGCCACATGATCACAGTCAATGAAACTCGAAATATAGTAGTAAGGAACACAAAAAAATTCTCCAACTAAAAAATTTTACGATTTTGCTCATGTGTTGTTTGGGAAGTCACGAGTTGAAACGCCATAGCAATCAACGCCTTATTTTCAGTGCATTTTGGACATTTTGATAGTATTTCTCAAAGTGTTATCTCCGAAAACAGGTACGGTGAATCTTCAAGTTTTTACAAGGTCGCTTTCTCTAGAAGTCCGATAGAGTACAATTCTTATCTGCAGTCGCCGCAGTTGTCATCTCTAAACTCATCAAGTCTGGTGCTCTTATGCACAACTCACTTATGCTTCAAAGAGACTAGTCTCTTTATGGAGATTTCATGTCTGTGTATAACTATTTGATTACAGTTCTGCGAGAGTCGCAGTCTCGCAAGCATTAGATAGCAATAAAACTTGTGGTCAGCGGAATATGCAGAGCATGACTGAAAGGCTGTGCAGAATCTATGGAGCTGCTGGGCATCTTGTACTGGACGTCGATTAGCTCTAGCTCGAACTTAGAGTCTCTGCAATTCTAACTCTCTAAGGCGTTTATCAGCTTATGTTCTTGATCTATGTTTGCTTGACTTGAGCAGTACAAAGTTTTGTGGGCAAGTTCGTGGCTACAATGATTAGAAAGTACGTCAACCCCATGGCCATATATGCAGGTGATGTACGCTTGTGGGAACCTCGACACCCTCCGCTTTCTTATTCTTTACCTCCTGCATTCATCTCCGATGCTCACACTTCTGCTATTGCCAAGATTCTTATTTTTCATCGTTTTTTTCTCTCACTAAAAGCAGCAATAATCTCAAAAGCTGTATTCCAGAATACTCTGTTGTATGGGCATGTGTTGGTTGCGGTGTGCTGGCTTTTTGATTATGATCGCTTTGGGTAATGGACTAGTAAGTTGAGAAACAACAAATCTTCGTACTTATTAAGCAGTCTTACTTCAGCGAGAGGATTCCTCGTTGACTGCAGATGACGACTTCGTGGATGTTACCGACGAACGAAGTACCACTTCAACAGGGTTCAAGGTAGTCAGTAAACATATAGCATTCGATTTTCACTACGAAACAAAATGTCTCTCTTAGATCAAAGAAAAACAAAACCTTCTAAGTTCAGATTCTTCTCAAGATTATACCAGATCTTAATATTATACTCGTAACTTCAAAGCATCCATTATATGAGAAGTTGGCATGGAGTCCGGACATTTTGAAACAACTTTACTAATCCCATTCGTCCTGCTCATCGAATGGCTTTTTTGACAGATCGTTGAATTTGTTTGTTGAACTGCTTAAGCCATGAAAAATGAGATAATGAACCAAATTGGGCTGCCTTATACATAGAACAGCTTGCTGCCAGATCTGTGCAATCTTAATTTTCAGTTTTCAAAATGTCACGACTTTAAAGAATGAACTTCGTGCAATAATCTCATTTTCTGCGTATTGAGCAGTTTTTTGACCATTAAAATACTAAGCTTTGTAATAAATCTTGGCAACAAAGAAAGGACTCAAATTGCACAATTTTCTTCTCAAAACCAGTCTTTTTTAAAGTGGCAATGCTCATTCATAAGAAAATTTAAGGCCATATTCAGTAATCATCGGATAAAGACAATCTCAAAAATTATTTCATGAATGAAAAGTCCGTAGGGTCTTCCGCTTAGAGATTTTTCTACTAGATAAAAAAGAAACTATTTTCACGTATCAAATCGAGCAGTGAAAAGTAATCGTGGGCCCTACTAGCTCTTGCTTTACTCTATCACCTTGAACTTTAAATTCATCGATTGTCTCTATACCTTGAAAGTTGTCGCTTGTAGACATTTGAATCATTAGCCTTCTACGACAAATTTTACAGGCGAGAGGAGTTTAGGAAAGTGAGTTTGGTGTATGCCACCTCATTACCCTTATTCCGTGATAATACAAGAAGTTGACTTAGAGGGAGCAGTATGGAGAATTTCTTGCAAGAATATCTTTCTTGGGTGTGACCATCTCGGATCTTAGGCTTGTGATTTCACTAGAATAAAGATTTCATCAAAATTTATTACCAGGACTCGGCACAAGGTAGCTTCCCGAGACTGCAAAAAACGAAGTCCCTTTTGATTTCACTAAAAAAGTACCACATCCGACATGAGATATTAGAAAAGAAAACACATGAAAAGGAACGGAACAAAGCAAAACGACAAAACGAAAAAAAACGCCAAAGAGGCATCAAACAAACATGATGGTATTCATATTCTCTGGGTTGGCGGCATAATGCATCTATCGCGCAGCACTAGCGCCTGGAGCAGCATTGCCGCCGCCATTCAAAATTTTTAGAGGCTGTAACTAAGCTGGGAGGAGGAGGTTTGAGGCGGTTTAGGAACCATTTTGTAGGATTTGGGAGGTAGGTGAGATTTATGAAAAGAAAAAAAATTGCGTAAAAGAGAAAAAATTTATGACTTTTTCTTTCCCAGGTGGCTTAAAGGTCAACTAACTCCGAAAAAAGTTGAGCACGCTTCCAGTTCACATGATTTTTCATGATTTTTGAACATAGTCCTAACTCGATATTGGTATCATTTCATTCTCACTTCGCTGTAATCAAGCCCTCTGTTTGTTAGGGAGAGCATGCCGGCAGCGTGCCGGCGACACGCGGACCGCAGAAGGCAATAACCCCTTTGTTTTTCTCCCAAAAACGATATCCAGGTTGCTTGGTAAGCCGCCTGTGGCTGCTCTGTTTGTTACGCATTAGAATGAGCAAGATAAGCAACTTCCTAGCTACAAATAATACCTTTTTGAAGATGAAAATTTTTCAAAACAGCTTCTTCAAACACAAGGCAACAAAGATCGGACAGAACTTATGCAGCAAGCTGAACTATCTGCAGATGCACGAAACGAATTAACGATATAAAACTGTACATACACAACAACAACAAGCAGAAACAGACCATCACATATCTACTAACAAGAGAGCTAGCACATTAGTGAGGTTATTGAGAAATAGATTTCAGGCTCATCTGCGGTAGAGATAAATGTTGGAGACGTAGTGAGGATAACTAATGAAATGAAGGAATGCAGTGTTAGCAAGCGACCAATCACAGATGGGGAGGCGAGGATGGATTAGAGTTAACGATTAGCATAAAAATGGGCAACAGAATGAAAACCGTGGGGATATAAAGTCTACAAAGATGTTACTGAGCAGATAGGAGATATAATTCAAGCGTGCAAAAATGCGAAAATGGGAAAAGATTCGAATTCTACAGCATTTGGTCTACTAGGCTTATCTACTACAACTTTCACAAGCACTATGGGAATCCGTACGAGTAGACTTAGCAAGACACATGTCTATGATAATTTTTTCTTCCACGAAAATTTTTAACAGACAATAAGAGCAGCGTTTTGCGCTAGTTACGATTGTGTTTAGCTTGCCCTTCATGGTTCAAATGATTTTATTTTACGTTTCTTGTGTTATAGTTGTTGTTCTTGCATTCCATTTTTCTTTATTTAATGCTCTTCCACCTACAACAACCATTGAGCGCCAAGAATTCACTGTCACCAACGACGGAGATGTCATCAATCAGAAGCGGTAAGAAAATCGATTTGAGAAACTTATAACACCTAATTGGGCTGCATGATGGGCACACGGGCTAAACTTTACTAGTGCATGATCGAAGTCCCAAACTTTATATAGTTGTTTGGAAATTATATGTATCGCATGTCAACAATATTGGTAATTGGGTATTTAACAGACAGTTGTATTAACGGGAACAGAGAATGTAACAACGTGTATTGGTCCTTTCGCGTTTTAAAAACAAATTCTGTGCAGATCACTTTTTGCAGAAATGGCGGCGTATCGCGAAGATCTCATCGACGAGTGGCAAAACAGATCAGCCGTAGAACAGAAACAGAATCGCAAACGCAAAGGTCCTCTCGTCCACGACCAGTGCTTTTACGCCGCCCACAGTCTCGCATCGAACCACATCACTGGCCAACACCACCCAGGTCACCGCCTCGCATTGATGATAGCACAAGACTTACAGAAACTCGAACTCGAGCTCTCAACCTAAGGCCTATTAACACTCCGCTGTCAAGATCACCAATACGGCCTCTTGCTATTGCTCCTCGGCAACCGCTGCCAATACGGCCTCAACAACCTAGTCGTCGAATAGTGGACAGCTCGCGAAGAATAGCAGTTCCGCTACCGGTGCAGTCACCTCGCTGGAGCCTCGGACTACCACGTCCTACTACTAACAACATATTAACGGCTCCCGACAGGTCACTAACATTCTTATTGAAATCATCTCTTATTAACGTTCTCCTCTGACGCAAACAAACACTTTTTAACGCCTTCAACTGACTTATTATATACTTTCCTATATCAGTTTACAAGCATGTTGAAAACTTTACTAAATCCAAGGCGACGAAGTCTCGCCACAAAAAAAAGCAAGGTGTCTCAAAAGTATGCATGCGCTGTTCAATCGTTTTTATTTAACAGAATGTATGGAAAATGATGGGGCACTTCGTTTTTTGCATCTGTTAGGTTGTCCCAAAAGTAAACCGTATTTCTAAATAAATCAAAGTGTATTTGTACTCCTAGCAGACTTGGGGAACCATTCGATAGAGCGAAGCAAGTTCTACAAAATAGCCACCAAAAAACCGTCTAAGATGCTATCCAAGTAAAATTTGGATTCAAAAATCAAAATTTCTCAACTCCCCTAAAAATTGGATCTCCTTCCAGAAAATTCCCACGAACTTCCAACTTGGTCCTTATATAGTAGACACCTAGTAGTACCATAAAATGTTTTTGGTTGATTTTTTCCGGAGCTCAAAATTGAGAAAAAAAAGGGGATACCAAAATGTCAAAATGCCGCTTTTTTCAGGTTTTTCATGTAAAAACTTGGTTTCTCAATTATAAGAGCACATACAGGGGTAAAATTTGAAATTATACATAGTAAGGCTTGAAGTATAGAATGACATAAATGGGAGGGGCTGGGGGCGGAGTTTGCCACTTTCAGACTATCTCTTTTTCCTCGCTTTCTTAGCTCGGAAAAAACCCAGTAAAGGCATATTTGAGTACAACTATCCTTGATGGTCATTTTGCAGAGCTTGCTTCGCTCTATCGCATGGTACTCCAAGTCTGCTAGAAAAACAAAAACAGTTTGATTTATCTAAAAATACGGTTTACTTTTGGGACAACCTGATATATCTCTGTTTTTGACTAACGATGTAGTCAACAACTTGTATGCCTTCTTCAAAAATGATCCTCGTGTATCGCTCTAGCAGCGCTAGCGACGGGAGCGGCGCTATTTAGAAAACTACCTAATTTTTCGGACATCTCTTACATTTGCACAGCCGCATCGCATATCGTTAAACAAGTGAAGTACCAGTTACAAGTGCTTTCCAAGCCCTTTCTACCGGTTGCATGTGGCCAGGATTTCTTAGTATTTGATGAAAATAAGATTAAGGTAATAATTTTTGGTCCAAGACTATGAATCAAAATCTAGAGAATCGAAGTACACTGCATTCATGTAGATAAAGCGTAACAGCTTTATGGAATACCAGCCAAAGAGTAAGAGCTCATGTGCTAGTTTAGGCGAGGGGATAAATGATTGATATAAACATACTCAGCGTTATATCTTCTGTTTTGAAGCGGTTATGCCGAACCAAGCCTATTTGATTACTGTCCTCTCATCCTTCGCAGTGATGATATTACCAATGGTCCCACGTGTTCTGCTGCTCCAATAAATGTTCAAAGTTTATCAGTTTTCGAAGCGATCTATTTTACGTTTCAACGATTACGAACTTTGTAATACGTCAATATCCTCATAAAGACTTGAGTCGGAAGGTTTTGATACATTCTAATGTCTGCCAAAATTAGTTTTCGTTTGAGATAGTTGCATTTGATTTTCAAATGTCCCATTAATTTCTGACCAACCTAAGATATTCGCAAGGATCTAGGATATTTTGATTAGAGCCTGCCTACTTATTGTAACTCATCTTTCGCTCGCAACTTCAAAGAGAGTTACGTCTTTGAATTTGACACTCTAACATAAGTAAGAACCAAGCAAATCACTCGAAAACACCTGCCCTAAGCCATTGGCGCGGATGATTTTAGATGAGAAATCCGCAATTGTGAATGTGCCTCGCAAAAACATGCCAGGCACACAGTAACAGCTGTTTTCTCTACATTTCGTAAAAATCTTATCACACCATTCAAATAACTTCACAATTTGTACGAAGTAGGTCTGGATATAGCATGCTTAAAGGCAGCGTCCAGGCAAATTTGGGCCTATGGGGATCTCACTTGGAGGGTAATCTTGGAGCCCTAACTAAAACACAGCCCAAGCGGTAGCTCAAACGGTGAGCTCACGGTTGAGATATTCGCCTCCAAACTGGACCCCGGGATCGTATTCGCATGGATTCAAGGAGCGACATATCAGTTTCGCGCGAGGACCACGCATGTCGCGCCATGAATCCATGCTAATACGATCCCGGGGTCCAGTTTGGAGGCGAATATCCCAACTGTGAGTTCACCATTTGAGCTGCCGCTTGGGCAATGTCTTAGTCAGGGCCCCAAAATTACTTTCCACATCAGAACCCGTATGTCCAGATTTGCCTGGCTGCCTACAAGAAACCAGGTGTACAATTTTTAGGTTTATGTGGAAGTTGTGACTAGTAATAACTAGGGATCAGTAAGAAGTTTGCACTCTAAATTTGAGTTGAGGCTAGCTTTGCAAAATTTGTAAAGACAAACAAAGGACATCGTGGCAGATGATACAAACAGTGTGAGCATACTTCTGGGACACTCTTATATCGCTGATTCATTATATGCATACTCCGCCTTGGTAACACAGTGACGTTCTTTGACCAAAATTCAACTTTTCATGATAATGTTCTGTATTTAGGATATTACCGCGAACAAGAACTATTGGCGATGCACGTATCATAGGTAAGGTTTGATGCAAATTTTTCAGTTGAGAACTTTATGATGTTAAATCGCTTTCTCGTTCTCTAAAACTTAAAGAATTTTCGAGTCTAAACAGTAAAGGGTATTTCCCAGATCATTAAAGATGGCTATCATGCAAGGCAAATGTCTTTGACTCTTGTCCATAGTATTTCCCCCAGATTAGGTAAACTGAACTGGATCGCTAACTTCATATTCGCCATCTTACTATACTAAGTAAAGACCACTTGGACTTGCTGCGGCGAGCGCTGTCGTAAGATAAGTATTTCGGAAGTTTATCTGCCAAAAATAGTATACTGTGTAAGAGCGAACGATTAGAGATAAATCCCGAAAATGTTGTGAGTAACTTACGGAACATGTAAGGTTAATTATGGACGATAGTGCGCAAAAATGCATAACTTCTTGGGGAGGGGTAGGGAACCTGCGAATAGAGTCGGTGAACAGTTGATCACAACCATAAAAAGAGAAAATTATTTTTCAGCCGCCTTTTTCTTGCAGATGATACTTCTCTTGAAAAACTGCGCTCAACGAAAATTCTTCTTGAATGTCCTCAAACAATTGCAAATTCCATGAAAGTAATGAACTACTGCGTTTTTATGCCTTTTCTCCCTTTTTGCTCGGCAATTCTTTTATGGGGATCATCATCAATTTTTCCATGATGGCCGATATCAAAAGTGGCCGGGCCATGTGCAAAAATCTCGGAATTCCTTAAGGTGACAGAATTCTATGGACGATAGTGGGCGAAAATGCATAACTTCGGAGGCGGGGGGAGGAGTCCTTAGCTCATGAAAAGGTCAGCTTTTAGTACTTGATTCCCGTAGGAAAACTTTTGTAAGGTTATCAATGGTAGACTCTCTAGTGATAATTCGTGAAAAACGACCCAATATGATGCCAGTCTATTCCAAAGCTCGATAAAAATGCTGTCGCACACAAGACCTTATAGCAGATTCGCTAAGAACTGTAACGTTAGAGCGATATGCTCTGTGAAAAAGAAAGTGTAGGCAAAGGGTGACATAGCTAATGTCAAGTGCATCTTCTTTCAGACCGACGACCGCTGGAAATGTCCGAAGCGGAAATTGAACAAGCTGTGATAAATGCAATAATAGGTGATCCAGTTCCAAACTCCTTATTTTGACTCACTATCCATTTTAATAGAATCATCAACGGTTTCTGCCAGAAGGCGGACACGTATTCGAAGGCCGCAACTACGGCTAACATCGGCGCTTCCAAGTTCACCAATGAGCAATACGCAACTGACTCGAATGCAGCATACCTCAATCGTTTCAAATACTGCTCAAATGGAAGACGTCTTCGAGAGACCATTTGGCAGTAGGTCTAGCACTATAAGCCTGAAAAGCAACATGGAAACTGAAGCTATCATCCCGGCTCTGACGACAACACCAATGACAATAATTGCCCGAGTTGATAACACTGCTTTCCCAACCAGTTCTATTCCACTGTCTTCGCGTCGCATCAGCATAGTATCCAATAAAGAAAGCAGTAGTCGAATGCGATCGAGAAGCCGAGCTTTGCACAAACACAGCAGTTTCTCGTCCTCTGTGGCACATTTTGGCAGTGCTGGCACGAAAAGCGTTGAATTTGCTACAGAGCCGCCTACATCAGCCCCTACTCAATTCGATACATTTGTTAGGAGCAGGCCAATAACCGTAATCGGTCAAGATGGTTTATTCACTGACATCACGACCAGATCTCCACCGACGGATAGGAAACCAACTCTGACTTTCACACAATCACCATCTGTCACATTGATCAGCGACGATGATGATGAGCTTTTCAGGACTATTCCGTTTGATACCGACACAGCTACTGACATCACAGAAGAGTTTACATTCACAACATCACCGTCTCCCTCTGCTACTTTACCCACTCCTTTAACAGAAGAGACAACCACTCCGACTCTATTTGTAGATATATCTGACGAATTTACAACCACAGAAAAGCCAGGAGCACCATTGGATATAGACTCTTCTGGAAGAAGTATAGAAGGGTCGAACATTCCGTCCATGGAAGGGCCGAGCAATCCATCCACGGAAGAACCAATAATTTCATCTATGGACGGTCTCCACATTCCAGGAATGGAAGATCCATCGCGCCCAGGTGCTGACGATAGAGAAGGTACTGAAAAAACAATTCCATCAACTCCGATTGCTACACAGGTGAGTCTGATGAAGAGTCCAAATGCGCACCACAAGTGAATTAACAGATAAGAGGACCTCCTGCTCCTCCACCACCGGAATTTTTGCTTGCTAGCACTAGGAACGGTGAATTCAAAGAAGAGGAATTGAACAGAAACATCATTGAAGGTGAGTGATTCCAATAAAAACCTGATATTTGGGTCCGGAACAATACGTCACGTTTGTATCCGTTTCCGGTTTAGTTTCGAACAGCACCTTTTTGAACGTTATACGTCAGCGCATGCTATTCGTCTTCTTTTCTTCCTCACCTTTGCCACTGATATTATAAGGTCATTCGGAAACTTTTTTCGCTTTTTGTGCCTTTAAAAGTGATGCCATATTTTCAAAGAATCCCAAAGAGCTAATAAGGGTTGGTATATATGGATCTGTAGAGGAAGCGCTTTAGTTTCTGAGGATCCCACCAAGCTTGCGAAAATCGCTTTGTAGGAAAGTTTTTGCGCCTACAAATTTGACATGCGAAATTGCGACTCTCGGATAATTGCGTTCTCTAAGCTCAAACTTGTATCGTCGATTCGTTGGTCGCACGGACTGCTCAAACGCTGCGGACTACGCGTGACGCGGTGAATTGTCGCTAGAGCACGACTTGTACAATGGCGAATTGGGGCAGGCTTTCTATCTCGCGTCGCGTGCTCCGCAGTGATATCCAGTCTTTGCGGCCAATGAATCAAGTAAAGGCTACTGCATGACGAAGGCGCAGAAGCAGTATCAGTTGAGAGGGCGCGAACGCAATGCGCGCGTATCTTCACCGTTGTAAGCCCGGCGCATCCTGCGCTCCGCGGCTAATAAAGCCGCGTTCGCGCCCAGAGATATTGCGCCTTGGTCATGCAGCAGCCTATATATGTAAGGTAGTTGGATTAACCATCATTGTGCGCAATGTAGATGGCAAGGCTACTTCTTTCGCAGGATTGGTGCAGGATTGTTTTAAAGTATGCAAATCTATAGAAATGAAGGCTAGTGTTTGCAAAGTTCTCGAAGACGTTGCTGCCATATAGGCGAGTATCTCAGAGGGTGCTTTGGAGCAAATCGCAAAATAGCTGCATAAAATTATCAGCAGGCCTTGAAGTGTCACAAAACCCCGTTAAACCACCTTCGCAAAAGCTGCAAAACCGAAAAATTTCGGCAAGTAAATATACCCCACAGATTGTCGCACTGCAGATTGGGGGCGCGGTGACTCTGCTTTCCTTGCTCATCATTCGGTAGAGCAATCCCTTTTTGGCCTAAATTGCTATTTGTAGTAAACATTGGGCCAAATACGCCTACAAGAAGCGACACTGTGATAAATTCTATGGAACAAGCATTGTAAGCATGACCATGAATAATCACTCACTCAAAGGTGATGAACTCAAATCACTGTAATCTTGCTGGTCTTTTACACTATAAACTTGCTAAGATGTGGTTGCACAGTCAAAGCAGAGTAGTATGATCTTCGGTCTAAAAAGCGTTTGTCAAAATTTCACAACTGAGCAGACGTGCAAATACAAAAATGCGAGGTGTCATCTTCGCACATGATGCTGCCAAACCACATGTAAGAAAAATGACTCTCACAAAAGATAACCGCGCACCGAGGTTCCTGTTCATTCTTCAAACTCTTCAGACCTTTCTTCACCAATTACCAATTTCGCTAGTTCCGTGCTGCCTATTTGAAAATAATAGGGCCCAGTGAAAATTAATTGGTCAAAAACGCCTTTTTAGGCTCTAATTTATTCTGCTGAAATTATTTCGCAAGGTAAAACCGCAAGAGCACCGTAGGAGTGTAACCAGAATTAAGCTGAATAACATGAAGTTTGCTTGGTGGAAAAAAGGATATGGAAAAAGATGTGCTTGTTCAAGTTTGATGTACTGAAAACGAAAAAATTTTTCGACCGAATAGCTCTCAATAATCCTGAGGGATTGACTACGCTTTGAGGTAGAACACTGAAACCCTTCCTTATTCAAACCAAATCAAAGAGAGACAGAACAATATACCGACTAAAATGCTCACTTAATTTGTCACTTACAGTCGAGTAGATTTAGCGGTAAATATAGTGTGCTTGCACAGAAGGTGAAATGCGGTAGAATTGGCGCGTGAAGAAATAGCTTCGACTGTGACGCCGGCCAGTTGCGCGCGCAAAATACCCGCAGTAGTGGCGTGGCTCAGGGCTCGGCACGAGCTGGCACCAGGGAAATCTCAAAACGAAGTCCCGTTTGATATTGAAAATTTCGTACGAAATCCCTTTTGACCTATTTTGGAAACCCGTCATCATTTTTCTATTATGTAAAAAAATGTAGTAGTGTTTTCATGCATTTCTGATTTCATGAAAGAACTTTTCACAGCTTTCTGAGCTTTTTAAGTGGTCGAATCACATCTTGAGAAGCAGAAAAAGCCGACTTTTTGACGGCGGAGCGGACCGAGTGGTCTTCAAATTGCTATAAAACGCTGAAAAGAGAACATTATGAAACTGTTTGTTCTCCGTATGTAATCTTTTACAGTGTAGATACATATTATGTAAAAAAGTATGAAAACTTATGTGAGCAAAGTGTCGGTGCCAGCTCAGCTGGCACCCAGCTGGCACGGTGCCAGCTAATTCAGAAAAAAGTTGGGCACAGCTTTCATTCACATAAGTTTTCATAAATTTTTGGCCCGTAGTTCCGGTCCACCAACGCGCATGCACACACCAAATTTGGTGTCATACTATTGCGTTTTGGCTGAAAACAACGCCTTTGTTTGTTGATGGACAGCTTGCCAATGGCATGCCGGTGGCATGCCGGCGGCATTTTTGCGGCCGTTCTCCGTCTCGGCCCCTGTAGAAACGATATCCCCTTTGCTTTCCGCGCTAAAAACGATATCCAGCTTGACCCGGTGCCAGCTGTGCTGAGCCCTGGCGTGGCTACTTGTTCACGCGCAAATTTCACCGCATTTTACCTTCTGTGCAAGCACACTATATTTACCGCTAAATCTACTCGACTGTACGTGTAGCACCAGTACAGGCGGCGTCCCTCGCTTGCTCATGTATTCCATTTCGGCAACGTGCAAAAGTTGTATTCATATGATTTTTCAGCTGGTTCAATCGTTCCAGAAACACCTCTGCTCATCTCATTCCCTTAATCGGAGTTTTCTCGGGAAGATACCCGCTCTAATGGTTACACAGTCCATCTGGGTCTGCTTTTTCCCATTGTGACCTGCGCATTGGCGCTTAGTCTTCGCTACGCTGGTTCATAACAGAACACCCATTTCATACCTTTAGCGAAGTCCGACTAAATGATGCGCACGTCTGGTAAACCTGAGTTGATTATGCTCGGGCGATTCGTGGGTGGTCCAGAAAGCTTTCGAAGTGTATTAACGAAAAGGTTCGCCAATAAGAAGAGAGTAAACGGTTGTGTCTACGGATTAGTTTGAAGCCCCGAAATCTTCAGCAACTCGTAAGCGGCCCCTCCTTCAAACATCATTCAATAAGATTCATGCATTTTTGAATGCCTGGGAACTTTCGTTGTGCTTGTTTTAAAGACAGTGTCCGGACAAAAATTCGATTATGAGGTTCTGTGCTTATACGGCCTATTCGCCGTGCTAAATCCGAAAATCCACACTGGAAAGCGCGAAAACGGAAAAAGGGCTCTAGCGCGGGAGAGAAACAGCAAATGGGTGGGATCCTTCCCACTGTGAATTCACGCTCCCTGCTTCCAGAGCGATCTTCTTGATTTCGTTAGCCTCCTAACATTGTTACCGGCCAAGTGCGAATGACTGACTTGAAAACGGAAGCGAGAAGATCGCTCCGGAAGCTGAGAGCGTGAATTCACAGTGGGGAGGATCCCGCCCACCTGCTAATTTCCCTCCTGTGTTAGGGCCGCTTTTCGCCGTTTTCGCTCTCTCCAGTGGGCATTTTCAGATTCAGCGTAGCGAATAGGCCCGAGTAAGCATAAAACCCCAGAATCAAGTTTTGCCCAAACACTGCCTTCAAACGCCTGGTTTTAAAGGAATTGGTAAAACAAGCTTTCAAGTCCTTCGCTTCAGCTAGTCTTCTTGCCTATTTTGTTTATTTCGTTATCGCCCCTGCTGCAGTGATCTGCTCAAAAACAAAGAGGTCTTCTTAAAACTACTTCAAAAAAGTTTCCATCAACTCGTATGCATGTCTCGTGCCATAACTTCCTCAACTAAAACAAGATCAATTCAAACAACTGGCAATATCCGTAATCGCCTTGTCTAGCATTCCGATTAATATGTCCCAAATAGCGCCTCGAGCAAGCGACATCGTCTCTACCGGACACAATGCTTGGGTTCCAGTGGCGTACCCAGGATTTCGGCTCGGGGGGGGGGGGGCGCGACAAAAATTTTTTTCTAATGAAGGTGCGTGGCGTTAGCCACGCACTCCGAAAAAGTTTTTGGGGGGCTTCTCAAAATTTTTGCGCGTCCTCAACCCCTAAAAGTCGGAAAAAGGGGGCGTGGCCTCAGCCACGCCCCCGAAAAAAATTTTTTTATAAGGCTAAAATGAATTTTTAAAAAATTTTAAAAATTATTTTAATTATTTACAAGTGCAGACAAGTCATTTGCACAATTTTATAACCCATATAAGTAACTTTCAAAAATTTCGCGACCCGTTCTCGGGGGGGGGGGGGCGCGCGCCCCTCCCCCCCGCCCCCCCCCCCCTCGGTACGCCACTGTTGGGTTCCGATGCGATATCTTTACATATCGCTGAAGGAGTTTTTCGATTTTTTGCGGAATAGAGAGCAGGCTTACCGGGCTAACTCCAGCTTCACCTTCCAAGGACGGCCGACGCTGTGGATGAGAGACCGTTAGCGATGTTCACCTGGAGGCTCACAACGGAAGATGTGGCTTGTCTGCCTTTAGCCATCTCTCAAAGCTCCAGGTCGATATGGCGTTTCTTTCAGAGCTTGGAGTTCCTTCCAGAAAAAGAATCTTGGCTCAGACTGCCTTGAAGCTCAGCGGAGACCAATACCGGAAAATATGAATCTGGTTTGCCATTCCGTACGCAACTTTTGTCTTAACCACAGTTTGTCGGTTGCGGCTCGGTTTCCATCGGCCCTACGCCGCATCTGCGTATACCCTCTGGGCACTCTCCTATGTTCATCAGCCCTCACCGCCGCTCGCGCCTGAGTACATGCTTAGAAAATACGGTGCATGGCGCAAGGTCCAAACAATGTGGCGAGCTAAACTCGAGTCTCATTAACGCGGCGCCACTGTCATCAAGATGGGCAGTAGATCTTGTGGAATAACTTGTCATCTGGCCCTCTAGTAAAACAATTATATAAGAAGAAGCAGTAAACGCACACGACAAGTACCGTTGTCTAGCTAGACGTAGGCGACAGTACGTGCCAATCACAAACAACTTGTGGCAAGCCCATTTCTACACCATGTCACTACATCGTGCCGAGACCTCTTATTGGAGCGGGAAATTCAAAACTGCCTCACTTCGCACCATACCGCCTAAAAGCTGGGTAACTGAAAAAAAACGCTTTAAAATCGTACTACTTAAGGTGAGCAGTCGACAGTGTTGCCGCCGGCGCCAATACCTTCCACAAAGTCATTCTCGATACAAGAAATAGGCGCTCCTGGTGCCGAACCTCCTAATGACACCGTCGTTGCAGAACTCAATAAAGCGGATGATTTTATGGAGGTTAAACGACTTCCTCTAATGACTTCATTGAATCTGTTTTTTTTAGGTAGCTCGGCGCTTGCAGCTGATCCGAAGCAATTTCATTCGAGATCGGCAACGGAGGTCAGCCAAGAAGAGGCATTAAAATCTTACTATTATTTGCAATTATAATCATGTCCAACCGATTCTCACCTCAAAACAAGCTTCCCATACGCTGTGCTCTTCCTTTTTGCCCAGAAAATATTTATAGCGCACTTTCGCATAGCAAGATTTCGGTTGGTACCCTCACAACGGGTGGAAATCACGCCTATTAACGAACATGAACTGTAAGCAACTTCTAGTTAAAAAAATTTTTCGGAAAAAATACAATCAACATCGAGAAGTTCGACCATTTCATGTTCGTCATTGGGTGATATCACTTCATGCCAGTAACTCAGAGATTTACAGCTCAATGAGCTGGCTCTTGTCTGAGATTTTTTATGTAAGTATAAAATTTCACTGAATTATCTGAAAACTTGTCAGATGATTGTTCGTCGTGAAAAACTTAGCTCTCGATAGATTGTATATTTTATTGAGTCTTATCTCATTTCGATAAAGATTTTACTTATTACTCCACAAATTTTCAATTCAGTACCTTCCCCCCCCCCCCTTCTCCCTGTCCCCCCCCCCCTCATTCGAACAACATGCGTTACCGACGAGTTATGCATCTGACGCTTTCGGTAACCAGTATCCTCTTGTACCTCATAAATATGATACTCAAGAGTACTTCATCAATGAGGGGTCAATGAAATCACGAATGGGGTGTAGTTCTCTAGAAAAAAAAAATAAATGCGCTATACAGAGGCGCATATAAAACTCTGGTCTCGTTAACATCGTTGGGTAACAATAAAAACCATGTGATTCATACCCATGGATGCTGTTCATAACCAGTTTTTTCAGAGTTCACATCGACAATGCATAATTGCTGCATTCACTATTCAAATCTTTTCAGGATTAAAATCAGCAGTGTTGGATGAGATTTTGAGCAAGTAAATAAACAAACGATCTTGCCCTGCAAAGATATTTTATTAATCCTTTCGAATTTCCCTCTTCTTCCTCCCCCCTCTGCATATCCCTTCCCAAATTATGCGATTAGTGACACCCGTCATGAGAATGCGAACGCATGAAAAATGATAATCTGTAATGACCTTTCACAGCTTCCCATACACAAAAAACTTAGAGACTGCCAAATTATCTCATGGCGTCATTAGAAAATTGGATGCTGTCCTTCTTCTTAAGACCAGGAAAGAACCAAAACTTATAATGGATTTTAAAACGAACTTTAGTGTTGGTGCTTTTATCTTCAACACCTCATGCATAACGTAAACTTTTTGTTTAGCACTCTGCCCTTAGAGCCAAAATTTATTGTATATTTTGTTTTATTCACCACTGACAAAATTTCTGAATCTATAGGCAGTCTGCTCATAGACCTGAGTCCGTCATCCTGCAAACGATTTGATTAGTCTTAGAAAGGAAGGTTGGTCGAAGTGGCCTGAAATGAGATGTATACTGCCTAGTACAGCTTGAAGATTCCAAATCTACTTTTGCTATCTGCTGCGGGCTTCTGGGCGAGGAGTTATTAAGGTTTTTGTGAGTAAAAATCTGAATGCAAGAGTAGGCTAAAATCTCACTCGGTGTAACAAATATTCTTGATTCAAATATACCAATTCGTTGCTGCCTCATTTGAACATCGGGAAAAGGTTACGACTGATTTTACCCTATTTTTCATTTAGATCTTTACTCACAAAAACCTTCATAACTTCCTCGCCCAAAAGCCCGCAGCAGATAGCAAAGGTAGATTTAGAATCATCGTTCCAAGCTCTACAAGGCGATATACATCTCATTTTAAGACCACTTCGACCAACCTTCCCTCCCTTGTAAATCAATCTTGCGAATGAAACACAGACAGAATCGCTGTACATCCCAAACTTCTGTATGATAGCGAAGAGGTAGAAAAGCATTAATCATTCATAACATCATTTTTATTTCCGTAATTACTGAGCATTAATGATTAGTTCACCTTGACATCGCAACGGGAAAAATTACGAAATTACTGGAATGTCAGTCATGGATTCTTCAAGATTGGTCATGGTTAATTCAAGTGAAACAACATTATTCTCATCTCTGTAAGACTTAATCACCACCAACAATTCGTCAGGGACCTCACAAAAAACTTTATTTTCCACGCGAAACTGATCCACCTTCACTGCATCCCCGAACAAACGGCATTATGCGGCATAATTCCTTACCAACAGGTTTCGTTCTCAGCCTTCTGTCCTCTCAAGATCATCTTGTGGGCCAATGACCTTTGTGTCGCATGGTTGTGCCTGTGTGAATTTCGCGCGAAGAAGGACGTTGAGTAAATTTCGGGTAGTGTAAAGAAAGGAGATTAATTTCAGTGTACGTTCAACGCATTACTTAAAATTACGTCAGAAACTCTGCGTAGAAAAACATGAAAGGGATCCCGATAGTGTATTGAGAAGATCTGTTTCGATTATGATAATTTGCTATCAAATTTGAATGACCGAGCAGTTTGTCTGGATTTTTTTTTCTTAGTAAAAAGCAATGCATTATCACAATGGAAAACAAAAAAATTTCCTGTAGTCTAATGCAGAAAAAATTTTTTTTCAATTTAGGCGTTTCATGACCGCATGAGCAATATAACAAAAAGATGCGTACACGAAAAATTCGTTTAAACAATATTTATTATCAGTGAAGAACAATAAACTGTTCTATAACGTAAAATATGAGACCAAACAAAGAAAAAAAGATTCATAGGAATTTCAAAATGCGACAGAAAGGCTTTTGAGGCAATGCAAAAGCGAAAATTGCCCTTAGAAATTCAGCCAATGCCTACAAAAAAAAAATCTCAAGATGGAATTATGGGCAAAGAAATTAATAGCAACCTAGAAACAAATGGACAATTTTATAGGAGATACCAATGAAAACTTAGAAAGAAAAAATCGTGAAAGTGATAAGTGAGCAAATACCGCTGATAATACACATTGGAAGAAAGTTCGTTATTGTGCACACATTGAGGTGAACGTCACCGTGAAATTATTCGATGAACCGTGAAAAACGAAAATTTGGCAATGACTATCATGAATATTATAATGCTTAAAAACTGAGATATTCGAAAGATTAAGTTGACAGTTTATGTTGGAGATTATGATTGAATGGAATTTCAAATAAACAATGAAAAGCACCCATGTGTAGTATATAAACACCTGTTCACTGAGTAAGTTGATATGACAATCACTTGCCTTTACTCCGCGACTTCGGTGCAGCATCCGCGCTGGTTTGCCGCTTATTCCGTCGATGTCCCCGTCGTGGACCACCGAGAGCGCTACCAGGGCCAGCAGCAGCAGTATAAGGTGGTGGTGGTTCTACCACCAGCACCGCAGCAGGAGGTGGTGGCGCTGATCCGGTCGGAATAAGTGGTACAGGAACTGGTGTGGTTGGTAAAGGGGGAGCAGAAGCTCGCACCACCCGAGGAGCTGACGATGGAACGGCATTCGAACGACTTGATGCACCACCACCCGTAGCCACAGCTACGGGGGCGCGACTTCGATGTCGTCGTTGTCGCTGTAAATTAGTAAATTATGCGGTTTGACTGAGCAGTGAAAAACAGGAAATTGTGCTCCTCTTTCTAGAACGCAGATATGACTGAGACTGACACACGACGAAAGAAATAAGAAAGTCATCAGAAATTTTACTACTCAAAAATGCAAGATTCCGACGTCCGAACGGAAAAGAAACAGTACAAACTCAGTTCACAAATCGATGTACAGGGTTGTGCCTGAAGGTCGGTAAGTTTGCGGCAATTGCTCACGCAGTACGCCAAGAAAACTCTCATGTGGGAAAAACGATTGGTCGAAGTGGCCTTTTGGGACGGAACATATATATATATATATATATATATATATATATATATATATATATATATATATATATATATAACTAGATGGCAAACCCGGCTCCGCCCGGGGCCAAACTTTGCACACATACACTTCGGGGCAGGGAGCGTGTCATAGTCCACTTTTCGTTATCGATCGATGTCGATTTCACCGATTTTTTGCAAAATTTGAGCTCGGGGCTGGGATTTTGCACAGGCAGGGAGCGTGTCATAGGGGGCTGGGATTTTGCACAGGGGGGTAATCGAACATGCTTATCACCCCCACGGGGGTGATCAGCATGTTCGATTACCCCCCTGTGCAAAATCCCAGCCCCCTAGCTCAAATTTTGCAAAAAATCGATAAAATCGATATCGATCGATAACGAAAAGTAGCCTATGACACGCTCCCTGCCCCGAAGTATATGTGTGCCAAGTTTGGTCCCGATCGGTTCAGAAATAAAAATTTCTATTCCGCACATACGTACAGACAGACAGACAGACAGACATTCAGCTTTATATATAAGATAATATATACCATATAATATATACCATCTTGAAGGGCATAAAACGGTGATTCCAAATCTGTCTTCCTTAGCTGCGGAGCATTCATGAACCGGGCATTAGAGCATTTACTATAGTAAAAATGGAATGATTTTTTAGAATAAAATCAATTGCTAAAATTTTCCTAGCGCTTAAATGAGGCATTGGAGTGCGGATATAACTTATACACAAGTGTTTATTGCATAAAGTGTTCTGATGATTATAACTGCTCTTCAAAAGCTAAAAAATGTTAAACCTGTTTAAATTTTATGTACACATTCAATTTTTGCTCCAGCTCACTCGTGCACGAGCGCTCCACAGATAAGGAAAACAGATTTTGTGTCAGCATTTCATGCCCTTCGCGATGGTACATGTTCGGTCCCAAAAGACCGCTTCGACCAACCATCCTCACCTTGTCAGTTTTATTTCTCTCAGTAACCCCTTTTTTTTCTGCCATCAAACGCTGGCTTTCAATCACCTAAAGCGATTTTAAGAAGTGCGGCGGGCGATCTCGTTTGTTCAAGTGGTTTATTGCCTTGTGACGTCTACAGGAGCAATATCCACAACCGATACGACCTTCACGTTCTGGTAGAACCCTATACCACCCTTCAATTTGATATGTGAAAGCTCGGCAAAACAGCACGACGCAATTTAACCCATTTAAAATCTATTCCAGCAGAAATTCTTTTCGAAAATACTTTTTTTTTCATCATCCAACAATGATGAGCTGGATAGCAGTTTGCGATCAGAAGCTAATTATATTCTAAAGATATAAGATTCAACAACAGTTAATAAGGAAAGAATACCAACTCAAGTTGGTGATCAAAGACGAGATGTAGATCACCAAACGCGTCTTCATAGCTGGTTTCAAAGCAGTCCTTTTTCTGTGAGAGAATCAAAAAAGTTAAAGCGTTTGAATGTTTGAAATTTGTCAACTTGAAATGGGCATGAAATTAATAAAAGCTGTACATATGGAACCTGAAGGTAGTTAACCATTTTGTACCAAGAATATTCACTACTACAAGGAAGGAACACAGCTAGTGGAAGTGGAATTTTCGCGTAGCGTTTGTAGATCATCTGAAATTATGCCACACAAAGCTAGACAAATCTGGACATTAAAACGCTCATGGCTTCTATCGGAGAGTTGTTCGGCAAAAAAGGAAAGCAGACATAGAATCAGCATCCAAAGTCGCGTCTAGTGATATACACTTCGATTTCAATCGCCTCTTCATGTTGATAACCTTCCCTTAGGTATAGTTCATGAGACTGACAAATAAGCGCCATATGAGACTTATTGTACGCGAAAGCAAACCGGACCAGCAATACACCGCATTTCTTCTTCCAAAGACAAGATTTCTCACGGAATGTTTTCTGCTTTTCTCTTTCTGTATCACTCTATCGTTGACAATTCGTTTCCAAACAGATGAATCATGAGAGAGATATCAAAGAAAATGTAGCAGAGCGCCAAGCATGTAAAGAAAAGCAAACAGCCTGTCAATCAGACAAAAACTTACAATCAACGTCGACGGTCTCGTGAGCGTTTGGTAAAGGTTTAGAGCTGGCGCTTTATTCGGATTAGTGCTTGGTGTGTGCACTGCGCAGCATTTGATGAAGAGGGCCATAAAAATCAGCAATCCCAGTGCGCCACATACAACCACCCACCACTTTTCCTAAAAATTTTGTGAGTGAGATTCTTACAAGACAGCAAAAAGATTATTGAGATTAAGAGAAGGTAACTACCTGCACCCATTGCGTTACGGTTTCGATGGTCTTCTTGTTGAAGAGAAGATTTTTAAGCCGTGCAAGTGGGCCATTTGCGTCCACACTGCGGCACTTACGGAATATGTCACAGTAACCTAGAAACAAGGAGAAAAAGATGTGAATGAACAGCGAAAAGAATCGGAATCATCAGACCACAAAACACAAAAGTATGTCATTCAAACGAAGCAAAAAATCATGAAATAAGTATGCCTGAAAATGACTCTGCTCACCCTTATAGTTATTGCAAGGCGAGCCAGGATGAAGCACCAAACCGCTCTTTCCTTTTCTTCCCGACTGTACAAAGTTAGTCCTATTAGATGCGAATTCCGGAAGGTAAACACTCGATGTGCACTCTACAAAAGAAACGTAAAATTATCCACAGCAGCAAACAAAATCCAGTATTCACTCACTTCCATCCTTTACACAAGCCAGATAGCAAAGCTCTTCCGGTTTTCCCTCAGTCAAGAAACAATCTTTGAGACCAACAACCTCGCAGATGGATCCATTGCAATTACCGTGAGAACAGACCTATGATCATAGATTTGGCTAAATAAGGTGGAAGATATTACCTTTACAAACCTTAGTGCTATCATGACAAGACAGACCATCTTCTTTTGGTAATGAAGGAGGGCACTGTGCCGTAAGTCCATCGCAAGTTTGTGCCTCGCTACATTCCGACTCCTTGAAAATGTAGTTAATAATTCACTGAGCAAAAAAAAGCGCTATACATACCCGTCGACAAATTACGAAGTCATTACTTTCAAAAAGTGAACATGTCTCAGGATTGCAGCAATGTCCTTCAGATGGAGAACACTTAGCCCCTTTCTGAAATCAATTAATTAATTATGCCTCACTCGAACTATAATTATTGAAAAAAAAGATTATTGAAATCGTGCGGTGGTGCTATAAGGATTCCTGAAAAAGGTTATCGCATGTAAATTACCTTTCTCTTGCAAGGTCCAGCCACACTAAAACCATTTCTAGTTGACTCGTGAGGCATGCAACATTTGTCGCCCATTTGATCGCAATCTGCCTGTGAAAAGCCGCAATCGCATTCCTCTCCCGGTTCCCAGATCTGATTTCCACAAAAGGCAGATGTTCTTTCTGCAAAAAAATCATATCATCTGTGGGTCTGATTGAATACTCAAGATTGGAGATGTTCTAGAGTATATAGAGAATTACCTTGGAAGCAATTGCGCTTCATCAAAGCGCCAACCGGACCAGCATGCCGAGTAGGATCGATTGGTACAGACTGTAGTACAACATGAAGTACACTCGAGATGTTGGCCACAGAACAAGGCGAAAACTTGGCATTGTTCACTTTGTCTCCGGAAGTTGCAGAGGCAAACATAATAAAATTGCCATCGGGCAAGCCTGGCTGACACTCTGGAAAACAAAATTCGCATTCCTGAGAAAAGCAGAGCAAAAAGAGAAATTTATACGAGCTATAAGTATGTATGAATAGGTTTATTCAGTAAAAATTCACGCATTATTGTAAATCGACAATGATTTTGAGGTTCAGGGCACAGATAGGCGCCATACTTACCCGGTTCAACCGGTTCATCTGGTTCATCCATTCGCTATTGGTCAAATTACGGAACTGACCACCAATAGCGAACGGGGTGGAGGGCAAAGCGGAGGACCCAGTCCGAATAAGACCGGATAAGTCTGACACCTGCCATACTTTACGCGATTTCGAACACCAGCTATTGGGCAATTTGCCAAATGTTTTTTGAATATAGACGCAGACTACAAATGAGTAGTGTGTATATTCGCCGATCAAAAAATGCTCTATCTTCCGTACATTCAGAATACGCTGACGAAGACTTAGATAACAGTTGAAATTTTGCCAAATCACGTAAAATATGTCCGGATTCTAACTACTGGCGCACCACAGTGCTTACACTCACTACCCCTCTGCTGCAAATAATGATTGCTCTTCTTCAAATAGCCCAACCAGTTCTTTGTTAGTCATTCTTATTACAGCAGCAGTGACTTGCCTAGAGGAAAGTCATGTGGTGATCCAAAATTGTGGCCAATCTCATGTGCAAGCGTAAGCTGTGATACTCGCGTTGGTACACGATTCCCATAGTTGACAAGCGTCACAATTCCGGTATTCAATGAGCGAAAAACCCATCCTCTCGATCCCTCGTTGTAACGTTGGTACACTTGACAAATACCACCAGCCGTATCTAAGAAGTGGAAAGACTTGGGAGGATCCGCAATGTTGAGGAAAAGCAAACAAATTTGTCGACTCACTGTACTGTGGGCTTGCCACCCAAGCCAATCCAAGAGTGCCTCCGACAAAATCGCGAAAAGTGAGTGCATAAGCGAGACAAAAAGCGGAATGATTGCGTTGTGAGTTGAGATTCAAAAAGTTTGATACATCTACGTTCTCTTCACAAAAAGGGTTGTCGCTACCAGCAACTGGACGACCTCGATCGCAGGTTTCTGGTGTATAAATCTGGAAAAGTTCGACCTTTGACCACCATACAAGGACAAAAACGAATTCTCAACATCTCCAAAACCACATACCGAAGTCCTTTGAATAACAAAATGGAGTCCTTTGATGCCATTGAAATTAGTCCCTTCATAGATTTCATTCACAGCTTTTATATGATTGTAAAACAAGCCAACAATCTCTTCGCGCGTCCTAAGAAAAACAGGCAATGATACTTGCAACAAAGGGGTAACAATACATGTAAGAAACGGCAATCATAAACAACAAAAACAGAACACTACCTGATAGGATCATTGTTTCCTTCTTTCCGTTTAATGTGTTCGTACAGCTTGTGATCGGCTTGTAGATAAAGTGAACATGTTCTTACAGTATAGAGACCTTTTTCGTCACGCGTCGATCTTTTGGATCGTCCTTGCCTGCAATTTTGCGTCGTATCAATAGAATCAACGAACAAAAAACGAAAGAAGGAAATTGACTACAAACGGCAAAAAACACTCCACCAACATTGTCATGTAGTTGGTGTACATTTCCTCCGGCACTTCTGCTGATTGCTGTATAAGCTCCATTTCTCGCTTCACACGATCACTCAAACCACAGCCATGTGAGGTTTGCTCATAAGGTGAAGACGCAGAACTAAAACGATACATGCACGATCAGTAAGTACGAAGAGAAAAAAACGAACCGTTTAGCCCGCATTTTTCCATGGTTGATTTCTGCGTCATCATAAATGATAGAATGATATTTTGAAGGACGCGATGTATAGTCAAAATATTTGGCTGCTCGATCGATTGTATACGAGTGACCATCTGATGTGCGTATATGACCATCGAAAATTCCATCCAAGATGGATCCATAAGCGGTGGATCCAGGATCGCCTAAGTAGATGGAAATATATAGGTGAAGGAGAGACAAACTTGAATTTGTTGAATACCTTCAATATATCCTTCATATAAAAAATTGTGCGGCTGGATGTCTTCATACCGCCCATTTTCATCTAGGATGTGGTCTGGATGAAAATGATCGTTGTATTCATCCAGAGGGAGTAAGCTGAGGTGAAATGTTCTGGAATAAAAGAAGTATATAAGAAACATAACAATAATTCTGATAGACTGCTGATCAGCAAACCGAAAATTCTTCTACTTCAAAATTCGACCAAGAATATAAACTTTTGCAAACCCAAAATGAAAAAAGAAGCTAAAGATAAGCAAAAATATAAAACCCACCTATTATAAGCATGAAATTTCAAATTTATTGGTTCGCCATATCCTTGCGAACGTTTTCTCCGTGCTGTATTTACAGTACGATAGTTTAGCGTCTCAAAGTTGTCAACAAAATTATTCAAAGAAAGCACTGAAAAGACTGATCTCGAGGGAAGATATTAAACAATGATGAAAATAGAACCAACCTAGAGTGGGAAATAAAAACAAGCAAAAGACCGGTATAGTGAATACTTCCTGCATAATGAAACTAAGGTGAAAGCTTGGATTCTCTTGGCTATTGTAAATTGTACATGAGCTACATACAAACCACCTAAAAGTAGAAGAATGAGAGTTAATAAAAAAAAGTAAAGCAAATCTTAGTGCAAACGCAATAGCGAGTTCGAACATTTCATTGCACATAAGGAGAATCATGTAACTAATACTTTCCATGCACAAGAAAAAAAAACGGGAAGGAACAATCTGAATAGCAAAACTCGAACAAAAGGAGGAAGAATTCCATCGCTCAAGGACACAGCACACATTTATGGGCGACGATGAACCAGCGGGTGTTTTCACGATGGCGCGAATGCCTCTTTTCAAGAAGAAACATCTACGTCATTATCGTAGTGAAGCTTTGCAAAAACGAAACTTTTATGCTGCCAAAAATAACTTGAACGGGATTTATGCAGAGATCAGCAGATAAACAGAAAAATATCGTTTACACGATTCAAAAGAATGTCTGCGCACCAAGTTTTTCAAAAATTCAGACAATCACTGACAGATCAATTTTCGTGGGAAAACTATCCGTGTGCTTGGAAAGTGCAACAAAAAGAGAAAAAAGGTTCCTCGTGTAACCAAAATTCGCAAATTTGCACGTGCGAAGGAGACGCGAGTGGTTACTGGCTGACAGATTTTCTGACCTGGTTCCAATAAGGGTTTGAAATCGATTCGTCAATGATATGCCAACATTCACGACTGTCACGGAGTCAAGGGATAAAAAAGAAATCAGTAGTTTTTGGGAAATTTAACAGACAAGTATACAGATACAAGCGGGAGCGCATAAACCGCGAAATTTGTCATAAACCAGAAATTTTTCCGAAAATGGTTGGAAATAGCAAAATGGCGGCAGAGAATTCGAATCTATGAGCTGTGTGAGATTACAAAATTTCTAAGAAAAAGATACTCAGCTATTGTGTACGCGTCAACAATATTTGCGCTGCACAGCCTTTGTTGTATAGGAAACAAGTTCAAAGACCATTATCATTCTTCTGCCAGCAAAAGCGACCGGACATGTCCATTAGCTTGAAGAGTTCATACTCATCGAAGAACAAAGACAATGTGGATGATTCAACAACTAGTTTCATTGAAGTTCAATCACAGTGTACCGAATACCACTCGCAGTTTAATGGGTGATCACAAGATGTGATTAAGACAGCAAGTAAGATATGACTCTTACGAGAAATTTGAGAAGATTGCAGGAAGCTACTAGTTGAAGGCATTCCTACAGGTTGTCCCAAAAGTAAGTACACACTTTTTAGTTGTTGGTAAATTTCTCCCCATAAAATCGTTTGCTTAGCATCAAGTAGCATTCGGTAGAGCAGGCTCTAACTTAGATTTACAGTATGCAGCAGATCATTTGCTCTTAATTATCAGAGGATTACAGTAAGAATTTCATGAAGGATTTTGAGCTATCATTGGCTCAAAATAGATGCTCAATAAACCGAGGACTTTTCATTAGGCAAACAAAGACGCTGATTATAAATACTGATGCACTTCACCGCAAGGCTTCTTTCATAAAATATGCCAAGTAAACGCAACAACGTTTTTTTCAGTGTTTTCAACAATGTGTTCTAACCATTCAAAACGCTTTGATAAGCTGTAAGATACTGCCCAACAAAATCAGTATGTCTGAAAACACAGCTACACAACTTTTTTTAGATTTTTTTGGTTTCATTAAATTTCCTGGTTCAAAATGAAGCTGTACGATGGAAGTTGTACCTTAATCCTACAGTGACGAATAGCGACGGTGATTTGCCGCACACTATAAATCTAAGTTGAAGCCTGCTCTACTAAATGGTAGTTGAAGATAAGCAAAAGACTTGTGGGAAGGTTATTAACGACTAAAAGTGCGTACTCACTTTTGACCCCGTATATGTAAACTGTAGAAGAGAAATCTTTGTACTTTGCCACTTAAAATGCGGGAAGTAACGGTGTTTTTATCGCATTTGATATAGCATTTTGGAAAAAGGATAATTTCATTGCTCGCAAATTTCAGTAAACTTGTCAACAAACTTCCGAAGCCTCACACAAAGCTTTCTAGACAAGCAAACTATCGCTTGATGATGTTACTGTGGGAGAAGATGATGGAATGAATAAGATGAGCGAAATAAACTGAAGTACTTGATAAAAGTAATAACCAAATTTACTTGCTTACTAAAACGTGGAATGTAGCTATACCTTGTAGTTGACAGAAAAAACTAGAAGATATTTCATCTAATATGCACATCATGAAAGCCTTTTGACTCTTCGTAGTGAGATTAACCAAAAAAACGAAAGCGTCCATGTAAAACAAAGGATCATCCTTATCGCGCGTACACTGCTTGAACTTTCAGAAAGCGCCTATATTTAGAGGAAGAAGGAAAGAAAACAATATAACTGAGGACAATCATCAAAGAAAGGAGAACGTCATCTATTTTGAGTTTAAGAGAGAACATACTTGCGTACATTTTACAAGTTTGGACTTGGTTTTTTTCTTGTTTCGGCGTATAAAACAACCCTAAATGATACTGAACACAAGTACAAACTTGTCAACCACACGTCCAACCAAACGTTCAGAATTCCGGACAAACTGTGCAAAGCGCACTCGAAGACGTACTACAGTTCCAAAATTAAAAGTACTTCAAATATGAAACCAGGGACACTGAGAAATGTAGAAATTGTTTGGCTCACTTCGAAAACCAGTAAGAAAATGAATCAGACAAAGGCAATGCGTACATATGCCATTATAGAAAGACTCTACACACTTCTTAAAGAAGCAGAAGCCCGCTCTTAACGTGTAGTAGACGATGAATCAGCTGTTCAACCAAGCGGCACCAGGAACCGGACGGAGGCCGGTCCTGCGCTGAATAGGGGCAGATGATTTGCGCTGGGGCGCGACAGTGGTCACGACATACGCAAACAACTTCGATTTTCCACTTGTTTATCATCAATTTGTGACGCGGTCTTGATTATGTCTGGTGGTAATCTGTCTGCGACTCATTAAGGCTTTGTTAGTGTAAAGACTTTGATCAAGTCCGGTCAAATTCTTTCATTATAATATCGGCTTGGTGTCTTCCGCCAAAAGAGCAATGAAACTTCCTCCCAAAATTCGATAAAAGCTTTTAGTATTTATAGTTTTTTGGGAGCAGTAAAAACTAGACGTGGGAACTGCTACGATGCATGAATCTCAAGTTTTCTCGAGTTGATCCAAAATAGTTTAAGCAATGTTCTGACATATCTAGGTCCAGGTGAACATTTCTGTATCATTCTCTCAATCAGTGCAAGCAGTAAAGAATCCGAAGTTAGTATTTTGCTCTATTTTCCAAGTGCTGCGACATGCTATTGCGACTATGTCTGGCACATGGTGCAGTTGCACTATCGCATGCGTGCGTACGGGCTCTACAACCCAGAATTACGTGGACGCTCATTATTGTTCATATGAGAGTTGCTTTGCATCCTCCTTTCCGTGTAATTCAAATTTACGAATTTTATTTCGAAGTTTGTTCAAATTTATTTCGAGGTTTGTTTAAGAACCAGAAGATTATATCAACATTCATTCGATTATTGTCCTGTGAATGGCTCGTATGTTTAGTTCGAGTCTCACGTCTCGTATTTTCAGATCATAATGGTAGTCGAAAAGAGCGCCAATGGACTACAGCTAAGTAATGAAGAGCTTCAGCAACTGCTGAATAAATTGTCTACCGATGAGCGGAATGAACTTACCGGGAAACTGCGGCAGTGCACACAAGAGGTTGGCTTTTGTTGGTATTCGTAAACTTACATCATATGGACATACATAGTTTTACTGATCTGAAATATGGTGCCCTTGCGGGTCGGTGACACTTGCGCGTAAGGAATGTCCATGGAGCGCACATTTCCAAACTTTGTTCGCCATGGCTATTTTGCGCATAAAATTAAGACATACGGATACAGTATTATCAGATAGACATCAGCGTAGTAAGTATCATGCAGCTCTGGATTTTAGCATTTTCTATTCTTTCTCATGAGTGCGTGTTATAGATGACGATGACCCGTGGTATACCAATCACAGCTGCTGTTTTGGGCTCTCTATACTATGCTCGTACTCGGCTTCCTGCACAGTATCATTTTGGCCCAAAGGGATGGCCGTTTTATGCGTTTTTGGGTGTTGGTACACTGACTGCTGTCAACGTTTTATCGATGGGAAATTGTCGCGATCGAGTTCAACCACTTGTGGCGCAGTTATATCAAAAGGTTTACCTTTCCTTATAAATTTAACGTATGCCAGAGTTTATTCTAATTCTCTACAGTATCATATTGGCCAGTCAACTAACAGCTACGATGCCATCAGACGGCGCCATCGTGAAGAATACGGGTATCCAGCTTCGGACATGGCAACCACTCCTGTGCAAGCAAGGGGATACAGCGACATGCAGAGTCCTACTGATCGGCCAGTTGGCAAATATGGCGTCATGCAAGACAGAAGCGAAAGATATGGCGATATGCGGGCTCCTGATCGTTCTGGTGGCAGATATGGTGATATGCGCGGTCCTACTGACCGCTCTGGTGGAAGATACGGCGATATGCAGGTTGCTCGCTCAGTACGGAATTATTTTTTTTTCCTATTACAACTATATTTATCCTACAAGATGGTTCTTCGATATTCTGGATAGTCCAGTCAATACAGGCTAAGTCATCTAGCATGTTGAGCTTTGTAATCAATTTCTTCGTTACTCCTGAAGGTCTTGGATAGGTTTCCTTTTCATTCGGTCAATTGACTTACCTGTTCCTGCCCCTTCGCTTTCATTTGGAGTAGTGGACTATGCGAAAGGGCCTCCCGTGTTCACTTACTTCAACAGTTTAGGAGCGGATAAAAATGAGTATCTTCGCAAGTAGAATTTCTTATACATTTTGTAATCATGTTGAAAGCACAGATCTTTAAAGTAAATGGATAAATTAGCTAATGAAGTACGTTTTAAAAACTTTTGTTATTACCAGTCCAAAAATTCCTTTTTTTTCAAAGAATCAGTTGGATAATGTAATTTCCATTGCAGACTGATCCATATGGAACTGCTACGGATCAGATGCCATCAATGACTGGAAAGCCTAGTGAAGGCTTTGACCGGACATATGATTTCACACCAGCAGGCACTTTTTCCGACTCCCAACCAAAAAAGCCAACTTCGCAGGATTACATGTACGATATGGATGCCCCATCATACATGTCTGGTACGCCCACGACGCCAAGATCTTCTCAAGGATCAGAGTGGCGATAATTTTTTTAGCTAGTTTGTTAAGAGTAGGGCCGTATAACAGTTTGGTAAGCTGCCTTTGCCATAAATACCACATTCATTTCGTTGTATACAGTTTTATCCTCATTAACCAGATCATTTGCATGTTCATAAATCTTGACTATTCATCTATTTTTTCAACCTTATTCTGCGAAGTATAAGAGAGGCTACAACGCACACAGTACTGATACAAGTTTTCTGTGGTAAAGAAACAGCAAATAGAAAAATGTGTGTCTGATTTCACCCATTCCTTGTTTTCCTTGAAAACAAAGATTTTTTGAGTAGCGATAGCCAGATACAGGCGACCACAACTACTAGGTGTATAAATGCGACCGCAATCGTGTTTGAATTTTTGGACTTGGACTGAGGTTTGAGGCTTCTTCCGTAGTACGAATGAAGCTAATGAAGGCATTCGTAAAAATTCTCTTATTAGTTTCCTAGTACAATATGCAATCTTTGCGTCTTCTTTCCTACCGTTTATCACGCTTTTTTCAACTGATTCTCGATGGTTCAAGAAAGCAAAGATGTGTGCGTTTTATTGCGTGATTTTACCATGCCGACATTTGTGAAACTCTCGTTTACTTTGCTACATTATCGTCCGATTGTGGTCTTAGTATCTATTAGTATTTTCAGGATACATAAATGTCATCCGAAGAAAGTACACAAAATGTATTGAATGATGAACAGCTGCAGGAACTTATGAATAGAATGTCTGTGGAGGACCGTAACGAACTTACTGGCAAATTACAAAAATGTTCACAAGAGGTGAGTTCTCACCTTATTTATTCAATTATGAAATTTTAGGTTATAACGCTCTCACTGTAAAGAGTCGGTATAGTCTGAATTGGTCTACAGCACAGACAATGCACAGTCTGCTATCAGCACGTTTTTATTTCCTCACTTGAGAAGCTTTCAGATGACATTAACTCATGGTCTACCGGTTGCTGCCGCTGTGGTAGCCGGTTTATATCATGCGCGCCTTAAAAATCCCGCACTGTTCAGTGGCCAGAAGGGTTGGCCATTCTATGCTTTTGTGGGTATTGGCGCATTAACAGCCGTCAACATCATCTCAATTGAGACTTGTCGTAACCAAGCTCAACCGCTAATATCACAGTTATACCACAAGGTATGTATTAGTCGTCGGTTGAACTTCCATTTGGACTGATTTTTTGCAATTACAGTATCACTTTGGTCAAGGGACAAATGACCGTGCTGCAGTTAGATACCGGCCTCGTGAGGCGTTCGGGTATCCGGTTTCTGATATGGCAACTACTCCTGTGCAAGTCAGGAACTATGTTGACCCGCAGAGTCCCACTAATCGCCCGAGTGGCACATATGGGAACAGGCAAATGCCCGATATGGATGGAAGATTTGGCGATATGCAGATTCCAAGTGATCGTTTCGGTGGAGGATATGGCGATACGCGGGTTCCGCGTGATCCTTACGGTGGAGGATATGGCGATACACGGGTTCCACGTGAACCTTATGGTGGAGGATACGGTGATATGCAGGTTCCTGTTATTCAGTAAATAAGGTCAGCTCGGCCACTTTCAGATATGAAAGATTAAATTAATAAGAGTGGTGGATCGAAAGAAAAATAAATGCGCAGATAGGATTTTGAGCCGACAACCTATTAGCTGAAATGCGGAATTTTTGAATGAAACAGAAAGCGCGCAGAAGAGTTCGGTCTCTCAAACTGGTGGTCTCTGTTTCAGAAGAGCTGTTTTACTGGATTGAGACATCATGCAACTTTGCCAGATTTCAGGCTGATCCATATGGCGCTGCCAAGGAACAACTGACTGGAATGCCTAATGAACAGATGACTGGATTGCCTAATGAAAATCTTGAACAATCATATGGTTACACCCCAGAAGTGTTCCCCGATGGTCAGCCAAGAAGACCAGAGAGCGTGTATCCCGACGGTCAACCAAGAAGACCAGAGAGCGTGTATCCCGACGGTCAACCAAGAAGACCAGAGAGCGTGTATCCCGATGGTCCACCACGAAGACCAACTTGGCAAGGTTACCCATACGACCTGCAACCCCCGCCGTATATGTCTGGTGCACGTCCACCACCAAGGCCTCAAGGATCGGAGTGGCACTAATTACATTAGCAGTTTGTTAAGTAGAATCGCTAGCTTATTGACTTGCTTTTCTCTCACAATACCTCTTATGAAGTATGTTGTACACAGTTTTAGCCCTATCATGAATAGATCAATTGTAAACTAATAAATGTTAGATAGTGAACACTTCAATGCCTCTATAACATGACACCAGAACAAACCATTGATAATCAGCTTTGACAGTCATCTCTTCTAGCCAAAGTGACGCTAGGGTGGATCGCGTATGTGCAATTTCAACCGTAGATTCAAGTTCAAGGTAAAGGTAAAGCTTGTAAATACACACTGTTTTAGGATGCAGGCTGATGATAGACATCTCATTTCTCATGAACAAAAAAGATATTTATACTTTCCAGAAGGGGACTAGTGAGGACTAACACGACAAAATCTGACCCAGGTGCGATCTCGCCCCTGAGCCAACCAAACCTTACTCTCCTGGGCCGGTAATTGCTATCAGATTAATCTGAGAGAATAAAAGCACTTGGTAATCGCCTGGCCCCCGCAAGTCACTGTAAAAATCTCGCATGCATTCAGTAGCCGGTCAACTCGCATACATTGCATAGCCTCTTTAAAGGCAGCGTCCGGGCAAAATTTCGTCTCTCATGTTTCTGCCATTCTGGGGCCTTTCCGTGGCCCTGATTACAGCTGTGAAGTCGAAATTGTTCAAAACTCCCAAAAAACCCGGTTCTGTGGGACCCTCTCTTTAAAAGGTGGACGAGTTTCGAATTGCCCGTCCCCATCGTCATACCAGCGGAAGAAGCTGCAACTGCACGGATGCAGTTGCATTGCAGCGTGCAGTGCAACTGCAATGCAACTGCAATGCAACCGCACCCTGCCTAAGCACTCGTCCTCAGGGGTGGTTTGTGATACGAAGGGGCGGCTTGTGATACGTATCACAGGCCCGTATCTCCTTTTAGAGGGCACGTCAAAGGATTGGACCAACGTAGATTGGATACTCATGGGCCTCTCTTTACAACTATGTGATAATCTGGATGGATGGATCTTGCCTGGACGCTACCTTCAAAGGCAGTACATCGGCAGAATGAGACCCGTGACAAAACAAGGTCACAGGGTAGGAGCCCCCATATGGAACCTATCGGCCAAAGTCCGATCTTTCTCTGCCACTTTTAACCCCCGAAATTTCAAAGCAAAAGCAGCGTCTCCGAACCCGCCCATCCTATGGACGAGTGACTTCCGCGGCCAGAGCGCCAGCCGCAATGCTATAAGCATGAGGTCCCGCAACGACTCTGCGTCTTCGCCATGACGGCCTTCGCGTTCACCATGCTCAGACAGTTGGAGCGTGCAGCGCGCGCGCGCTCACACGGTGGCGCAACACCCAGTGCGCGGATGGCGGGACATTGGATGCCCCGCCGCTGGTGCTGGCCCGCGGATGGCTGCATTTTTTCAGTTTTTCGTTGCGCTGTATACCACAGGTCTTGATAATGAATTCCACTCTTCATACGCCAAAATATACGAATTCGTATTTGAATCCAAGAATTCAGATCCAGCATCAATTTGCAATGCTACCAAAGGCTAACGCTTGGAAACAAAAAACAACTTCCACTTCTGCGACCATTCATACACTACGATGTAATATCTAACCTCTTGAATGATGAGGCAGTCTGACCACTGCGTCGTACACTGCGCGGGTACCGCTTGTGCTTACAGCATGTGATAATTGCAGGCGCGCGGACCGCACGGGTAGAGTATAAAGGCACGCGCGCGGCGTGCCACAAAATTAGGCGCGCGGGTAGCGAGATTGAACATAAACGTAGCGCGCGGGTCGCGGTGTTAGCCATTAATACGCGCGCCGCACGCACCAAATGTCTAGGATGGTGCGCGTTTGGCGTGGTGCCGGACACGCCCACAAATAAGGCACGCGCTTTGCCGCATTGACCATAAACGCGCGTGCGCCGCACGCTCCAACTGTCTGAGTGGGGTGGGTGGGTTCGGAGAGGACAGGATATGAGCGCTGCTTTCGCTTTGAAATTTTGGGGGTTAGAAGTGGCAGAGAAAGATCGGACTTTGGCCTATAGGTTCCATATGGGGGCTCCTACCCTGTGACCTTGTTTTGTCACGGGTCTCACTCTGCCGACGTACTGCCTTTAACAAGCATTCGGAATTCTCTTCGACTATGAAATAGAGTGCGTTCGGCGCATGTCGCAAGTTATGGAGACGAATTCTTTATCCTTATAATTAGAAGAAGACTAGCACGAAAGCATCTTCAATCGGCTGGTCGTACGCAAATAATCGGCGGGGTAGGCGGGCAGAGAAAAATATGACTGAATTCAGATCCATGCATCGGCGCTCTGTATTTTGATCTTCGCAAAAAACAGCCAACTATGTGCGAAAAAGCGAGAAAAAAGTTGAAAAACGGCTTGTTAGAAGTCGTGGACGTTTTGAAGACTTCCGCAAAGAGCGCGAAGTCAACAACGCGCATTTGTCGCATTATTTTCATGCGCTTCAAAAACCCTTTCCGACCGCTCGAAAACAGTTTATGAAAAGCATGAATTTTATTTTGTTGCTTAAGATTACATCTGATAAGCTATATTCTCATATAAAAGGAGAGAATAATGTGGGAAGGTTCAATTTACTTGCTTTAACCATGACTTCGGTCTACTTCGGAGCTGCCGGTGGATCAGGCGGCGGCGCACAATCTCAATACTTTGGAGTCGCAGGAAAAACCTCAGGACCTGCAGGAGGAGCTAAAGGACCACTTCCCGCCGGTGCTCCAGCCGGCGGTGCGCAGTCCGCCTATTTCGGCGTTGGAGGTGGTGGAGGTGGTGGCGCTCAGTCTGCATACTTTGGCGTAGGCGGAAGCACAGGAGGTGCTTCAGCAGCTGCACCTGCACGTAAGTTCATCGTTGAGAGCTTTGTATAGGAAGAAATGTTTCCTTTGCAGCCGCTGGAGCAGCACCGGGCGCCTCGACAATGACTGCAGTTGGTGCACCCGGTAAGTGTAATCTTATTGTTAGTAGGAAATGTTCGAAGAGCCCCTTGCATCGTCTGAGACTTTAACTTAAACAGTCAGTTATGGAAAAGTCGCAGGGATGAATACTCTTCTTCTGAATAGTATAAACATGACTTTATTAAAAAAAACCTCGAGTAGAAGTCTCTGGTTAAAAGAAAAATGTGGATGCGAGTGATCTACCCATCCTTACATTACGAGAGAACGGTGAGAACAAGTGGGATCGAAGCTGCGGATCAGACAGCTGCTTAGTGGCTTCCCTCAGAGGGGACGTGTCCCAGACTATTCTTCTCCTACAAAGTTCCTGTATCAAATCATACGATAGATAACATCTTCATGATGAAGGTGCCAGCCGGTCTTATGTCCTCATCTTTGCGAAGGTTGTTCTTCATAAACTGACTCTTCTTCAACTCGTGCGCAGTCTGATCTTCTTCCCTACTTCACTTGGTTCCTTCAACATAGTCCCTGCTTCTACGAGACTGCCTGAAAAAAGAGCAACGTTGTCCGCAAAACGGGGATTGAAAGGAACCTCCCATCAACTCGTATGCCTCTGTCATTCCAGTCTATTGACTTCATCACCCACTGCAAGGCCGCTGTGAACAGCATTGGCGAGATATTATCACCTTGTCTAACCTCTCTCCAGTTGAGATGGTAAGGGGCATGGAATAGCTGCCCTTAGTTGTGCAGTCCTTTAGCACTCGGCTAATGTCCTCACGCAAGCTCGGTCCGCCCTTTGATCGACGGATGACTTTAATTTCAACGCTGCCAAAGGCTTTCTCGTAGGTCGACAAAGGTTGGGAGAGGCAGATGGTACTCCCTGCAGGCTTCCATTCCCCCAAACCGTCTGGACCATGCAGCTGAATCTTGCAAAGTCAAGCCTGTTCTCGAGAAGGGCATTATCCACTATCCTTGATATGCGAATGAGGGTGTTTTGTGAAAAGCTTGTAATGAACACGCAAAGGCATATAGACAGAAACTCTGAAGGTCCTCGTTCGCTCTTCTTGAGGCCCCGGGCAGACTTCACGCGATTTGATCGTCGCGACTGAATCGCGACGAGACAACTTTACAACATCATTCCATGCCGACCAACTTGCATTCGATTGTGATACTTTTCCAGCCCGAAATTTTCGAATGTGAAATGGAAATGAATGGAAATCTTGGCGATTAGATCGCGATGATTAAGTCGCAAGAAGTCTGTCCGGGGCCTGAGAAGGACGGTTCTTGAAGTCCTCGCTGGTCGAGAGTCCTTTCCTTCTAGTAAGAATTAACACGAGATGCGTGTAGTGGGTGTCCTTCATCTTACGGAAGCTCGAACGATCTATATTGCCGTACGCCTTCAGCATGTGGAATCCTTGGTGGTACTTCTCTAGTGGGAACAATAGACATTGGTATGGGGTTGATGAGCGGAAGAGGTTGGTGTAGAAGTTCTTCGCGATAGATTCCATCTTGAAGCGGGAAAAAGTCGGAGTCCCGTCTTTGCTCACTCAGCCAGCGGTACGTGATATTCAAAGAGGTCCCCTCGGCACTTCTTAAGGCTTCGTCTTCCTTTGGCTACTTCCAGTGTCTTGGCTGCCTATACTTCCTGTGTGAAACTAGCGTTCGTTATCAGTCGCACGAGAAGAATTGCGTTCGGATCCTGCCTTAAAGCGCTTCCTTCGAGCAATCCTTTGGTGCCATTGAAATGCGTCCCGATTTCTACCCACGAGTCGTCGTTGAGACACATTCTCGGCTTGCAATCCTCTTGATTGAGTAATCTTCGATGCTAATTACAACTTACCGTGAGCTCTTTCAGCTGTGACTTCATGAACGATTACTCTTCTTGCGACCTTTGACATATCCTCTCTACAAGCTTTCGACTAAATCGCTTTTGCTCTAAGAAGGTGGTGAGCGTTGATTGGAGCCCTGCAGGAAGTTGGAAGACATCGCGCAAGCTCCAGGCATGGTGAAAATGTTGTCGATCTCCGCGCGAATCGTACCGTTGGGCAATTCCCATTGCAGCAGCGTTGTTCTTTCTTCATGAATATAGGATTTCATAGAAATTGTGGCGATGAGAATTCTTACGAGAAGGGTGTTGTTTTTGCTCCGGAGCCCATAATCAAACAACCGATCATATTCTTCTTCTAAGGGCATGCGATTTTGATGTCGCTTACATTAAACTTGTCGTGGAAATACTCTCTTCACAGCATCGAGAAGTGCATGGAGGTCGGCGTCTGTGTGGAGACTGTCTTGGTGTTGTAGGTGCAGAGCATGAGGCAGTTCCCATGGCGTGTCGTCTCGGACTTCTTAAACGTGATCGTTTCTATATGATTCAAATGGCGCCCTGAGCAACCTGACATTGGTCTTGTAACCAACCAGTGCCGTAAGTGGGATGGGCTGTGCAGAGTTTTCTTCAATTCTTCTTGCTGAAAGAGTGTTCCCCGAAAAAGCAGGCCTAGTAGGCCGTGCTTGTGCCTTCCATGGGCTATCGCCGACACTGGAATGTGCAGTGGGGACTCTTACCTGCGAACAGAGGGAGTTCGAAGTAGGCGAAATTGTCAAGTTAGTCACCGAGCTGGAAGTCAACACCTAACTCACAGTTTGGGAGAGCTTACCGGAGTGAACGCTCTGCTGTTGCAGTACACCCACTGCCACACCCATGCCACTTAGATTCGAACCTAATTCTCCACAGAAAAGAAGTCACTTCTCTGCAAGACACCACCTTGAGTGTGAAAAGCCGACTGTTGTCCGACTGTTTTTTAAGAATACATGGCTCGCAAAGACATTTCTAATAATCTTATTTCAGCAGGAAAATCCACGATGACAGCAGTAGGAGCCCCGGCAGGAGCTTCAACAATGACCGCTGTAGGAGCGCCAGCAGGTTAATTTCTAAACTTCATGGTCAGAAAGTGTAGATATCTGTTAATTTAGGGAAATCTACTATGACAGCAATAGGAGCGCCGGCTGGAGCATCAACAATGACTGCTGTTGGAGCACCAGCAGGTTCATCAACTATGACGGCGGTAGGAGGAGCGCCAATGGCTTCCACAATGACCGCAGTAGGAGCACCAGCAGGTTTGTATCAACAGAAACCCTGTGGAAAATTTATGACTGTTAGAAATCCACACATTGATAATTTTTAGGAGGTAAATCGACTATGACGGCTATTGGAGCACCAGCAGGTTCATCGACTATGACAGCAGTAGGAGGAGCGCCAATGGCATCCACGATGACTGCTGTTGGAGCCCCAGCAGGTGATAATTCTGTATCCTTTCAAAAACACATAAGGAGCTTGCATCGCAAACTAAATTTAAGGATCTCAGCGAAATCTGGAACTACTTGCTCCCCCAATTTTTTATCTTTACGGAGTTGTTTAGGAGGAAAATCAACCATGACTGCCATTGGAGCACCAGCGGGAGGATCTTCCACGATGACGGCGGTGGGAGGAGCACCGATGGCTTCTACAATGACGGCAGTGGGAGCACCAGCAGGTTGTAGCCGTTAAGGAGATAGCGCCCCATACATTAAAAAAGTTGAACATTCTTATGTAAAACTTTCAGGAGGAAAGTCAACGATGACAGCAATAGGAGCGCCAGCGGGAGGGTCTTCCACAATGACGGCGGTGGGAGGAGCGCCAATGGCTTCCACGATGACGGCAGTAGGGGCACCAGCAGGTTGACATTCATTTATTGGACTGCGTCGAGAATCACCCGTGCCAGCGCCTCCAGCGTCGTGCTAGCGCCGTGTCTGGACTTCTGATAAGATTGACCGATCCAAACGCAGAGCGTCACATTGTTATTCTTGCTTCGATGGTATAACGCTGGAATGGCGATAGCGAATCGCTTGAACGGCGAGGGCAGAGCGGTGACACGCTGCTGGCACGGCCGTGAGCGCTGGCAAAAACGCTGGAGCACTCAAAATGTCGTTTTTAGGAGGAAAATCAACGATGACAGCAATAGGAGCACCAGCAGGAGGATCTTCCACAATGACGGCAGTGGGAGGAGCACCGATGGCTTCTACAATGACGGCAGTAGGGGCACCAGCAGGTATAGTCATTAATGTATATAATAATAGCACTACGCAAGGAAGTAGATGGACTTGTTCCACTTTCAGGAGGAAAATCAACAATGACAGCGATAGGAGCACCAGCAGGAGCATCCACAATGACAGCGGTAGGTGGGGCGCCAATGGCTTCCACAATGACGGCAGTAGGAGCACCAGCAGGTCATCACCACTGACGAATATAAGCAGATTCATATAGAAAAATAATGTCATACCAAGATTTTAGGAGGAAAATCAACGATGACAGCGATAGGAGCACCAGCGGGAGGATCTTCCACAATGACGGCGGTGGGAGGAGCACCGATGGCTTCCACAATGACGGCAGTGGGAGCACCGGCAGGTTGTGACAGGCGTGTTCACTTTTCAAAACCCGATGTCGTTTTTTAGGAGGAAAGTCAACGATGACAGCTATAGGAGCACCAGCGGGAGGATCTTCCACAATGACGGCGGTGGGAGGAGCACCGATGGCTTCCACAATGACAGCAGTAGGAGCACCGGCAGGTTGTGACAAGCATGCTCAATTCTTAAAAGTTAAAACATGGACTTCCAGGAGGAAAATCTACGATGACAGCGATAGGAGCGCCAGCGGGAGCGTCAACAATGACAGCCGTTGGAGCACCGGCTGGAGCGTCAACCATGACGGCTGTTGGAGCACCGGCTGGAGCATCAACAATGACGGCTGTTGGAGCACCTGCAGGTCGGACAACATCGTACAAAGCCAGCTTAGACTACATGAAGAAGTTAGCCAGTCATTTTCAGGTAAATCGACGATGACAGCCATAGGAGGGGCGCCAGCAGGATCATCTACCATGACAGCCGTAGGAGGAGCAGCAGGAGCGCCTGCATCAGGAGCACCAGCAGCACCTGCACCAGCTGGAGGTGGAGGCGGAGGCGGAGGCGGAGTAGCGGGACAATCAGCATACTTTGGAGTAGGAGCTGCCGGAATGCAAGTCGGAGCCCAATCAGCATACTTTGGCGTGGGAGGTGGTGGCGGTGGCGGTGCAAGTGTGCCGAAAGCGGCTGCGCCAGCCGGAGGACCAGGAGCACAATCATCGTATTTCGGTGTTGGTGGAGGAGGAGGAGGAGGCGGCGGAGGAGCACAGTCCGCTTACTTTGCAGCTAAGTAATATCGTTACCCGAATAAACCACTATGAAATATGTTATACCGACGTGGCTTGTCAACAAGTACTGTGAAACACCGGTATAAAAAATTTCTATATTTTTATTGTCTCACAGAAGAAGGTGCCTTGACACAGACTTCGTAGGCTGAATGCGTTAGGACAGACAAAATAGCCAGACGATCTCTTTATTGGACAGCCTCATTATGCATTCGTGCAGATTGTATTCCTCAAGAAGTTATCGATTGCAAATAATTAGTTTTAGTAATGATTTCATTGCGAATGTGAAAGCGAAACCATCCTCTTGCTCAGAAAACTCAAGGGAATCCATTAAACGTTCACAACCCTGCGATTTGACACCACACAGACAACCCAACTTTATTGCCATTTACCTCAGTAATCGAACAGTGACAAATGGATTTCAAGCAAGTGTACGTAATATAGCCAGCAAATGTAAAATAGAAGGGTGTTCAGTTCCTACATACAAGTGGATATAACCTTTGATTCAACTGGTTTAGCAAAGGCAGCGTAGGCAAATCTGGCTGGACCTATGAGAATTTTACGTAGAAAGTAATTTTAGAGCCTTAACTAAGGCAACGACGAAACTGATGGGTTGAGACATGAATCCGTGCGAAATACAATCCTGGGGTCCAGTTTCGAGGGGAATATCTCAGCCGTTAGAGCACTACATGAGCCGCTGGTTGGGCAGTGGCTTAGTTAGGCACCCGCCATACTTGATCCACTTAATCCACTTGATCCGCTTCATCATTGGTCAATTCAGTGAACTGACCAATAGTGAAGTGGACGAAGCGGATCAAGCGGAGAACCGCTTCACTATTGCTCAACTCACTGAATCAACCAATGACGAAGCGGATCAAGTGGATTAAGCGGATCAAGTATGGCGTGTGCCTTAGGGTTCCAAAATTACTATCCAGTGGGATCCCCATATGTCCAGATTTGCCTGGACTCTGCCTTTAAGTCCGCTAACGCCGCGCAGTTTGCGTCTCTGTCACGCTCTCTAATCATTATCTAGCCTTAGTCAGATCACAAACCCCGCCTTCTAGCCGCCAGGCCATTTGAACCAAAAGGTAGATGGGCAATACGAGCAGTAATGAAAGTGAAAAAACTGCAGGAGCAAAATGGCTGGGTATACATAGTTTCACTTACTGGCTCTATTTTTTTTGCAGCCCCGTTTACGTCTGTCCAAGTTTTTTTTTCAAAGTGAGTATCGCACTGGCATCAAGAATCCATCTTATAACATGCCGCAACTACTTTCTTTAGCGAGCATTTGAAAAATTGGTCGTAGGTATTGCGACTCGCGAAAAGAACGTCTCAGCTGACCTGAGGAGTCATCTCGTTTCAGTTTTTAGGCAGAATTCTATATTGCGCAAATAATATATTTTTGAATTCCTACCTCATGCTTATGTTGCACACTGTACTTCACAATTACGAAAATTCTTTGGTCCACTTTACGACTCAAACTAAGAAATAAATCGACATCCATGCGTATCGAATCTTGGGTTATTGTCTGTTTCTAAAGTACAGGCGAATAAGTATATGAAAAGTCGTCTACATATCTTCACTCACAGGAAAATCAAAACATTAGTTTAACTAACTCATTCTCTCCAAGTATAGGCCGTTTCCTTGCGATAGACAAACAAGAAAACCTAATAAGGCGAATTCTCGAACCTTGTAGGAATCCCCGAAATCACTGCTTCGATTATCCGGACTTATCAATGAGTTATGGAAGCGCACCTTGTTGGGAAAATGGCAAGAACTTCCTTTTTTTCAAAGCTCTTCATTTTATCTCCACTTCCGCCACTATGTTTTCGCAATCAGCATGCTAGCCTACTTTCGTGTACCAAAGCTCAACGCCTCAGCTAAAGGTTTGCAAAAAAATAGCCAAAAATGATAAAGATGATCGATAATTTCAAAAAAGATTAAAGGCAGCGTCCAGGAAGATTTGGATCTGTGGGGATTTTACGTGGAAAGTGCTTTTGGGGCCCTAACTAAGGCACTGCCCAAGCGGTAGCGCAGGTATCCTCCTCGAAACTGGATCCCGCAATCGTATTCGGATTCATGGCAGTTTCGCTCCGGGATCCACGCTTTGCGCCATGAAGCCATGCGAAATACGATCATGGAGTCAGTTTCGAGGGGAATATCTCAGTCGTTAGAGCATTACCTGAGCTGCCGGTGCAATGGCTTAGTTAGTGCCCCAAAATTACTATCCACGTGAGATCCCCATGTATCCAGACTTGACTGGACGCTGCCTTTAAGCGGAAAAATTGAAAGAATGGGCAGAAGAGAACTATCCTAATTTCGGTTTGGTCGTGATAGATCGGAATGCAAAACAATCTAAGCAAGTTGTATTACAAGTTTATTTATCTGCTCGTTTTAATCAAGCAAAGTTTGGACTGCACGCTCCCGTAAAAAATCATGATTTCAAAAATGCCAACAGAAATTGAGTTTGCCATTTTGTACCTCAAAAATCGATTAGAATAATTTGTGAAAATATTCGTTCCGCACAGATTTTTCTCAATTAGAAAGAACTGGTAAACCTATAACACTGACTGCATCGACTTTAATTGCTAGTCTCAAATATTTGCAGCTGAACGCAGAATAATCAGAAAAGTGATTTTCTTCTAAGGGTTGCTTTGCAGTGTGTGCTTATTAGAACTCAGTAAGATATTTTAGGGAGTACAAATTACTTTTTTTAAATCACAAGCAAATTCTATAGAAAGCTGATAGCTATGAATTTTAAAAATGATGCGACCAAACTTCTGTGCCGACCTGAAACGCAACTGAACCCTCGCGCTAACTTAATACAGAAAATATACAGGGTGTCCCAAAAATATGTGCACACTATTTGATTTTGAATAACTTTCTTATTATGGGGTCTTTCGAGAAGCGGCAAGCGCCATTTTGTAGAGCTGGCTTCAACTTAGATTTACAGTATAGAGCGAATCCACTGGCCACTCTTCGTTACTGTAGGATTACGGTAGAAACTAGAAAGAGGGTTTTGGGCCATGAAAGGTCATATTTTGCCTCAAAAAGGAATCAAAACAGTCTGAAAGCTTTGACACTAGGCCAGTTAGAGTTTCTGATTTTAACTGTAAAGTTTCCAACTTATTATGATGCTTCACTGAAGAGTTATGCGAGGTAAGCAGTAGCGGCCATTTTCTCAATGTTCCTAAAAAGTGCGGTTACACCGTTTAAAAAGCTTCGCAATCTTGAGAATAGTTGAGTATTGAACTCAGCGTCTATAAAACCCTATTACACAAGATTTCACATTTTTTTGAAAATTTTTGAGACGGCAGCTTTTTCCACAGTGAAACCATATGTTCCAAGTTTCTACCGTAATCCTACAGTAATGAAGAGCGGTCAGTGATTCGCTCTATACTGTAAATCTAAGTTGAAGCCAGCTCTACAAAAGGGCGCTTGCCGCTTCTCGAAAGACCCCATAATAAGAGAGTTATTCAAGATCAAACAGTGTGCACATTATTTTGGGACACCCTGTGTAAAGTACAGAAAGTCCTATAGCACGTATACCTAACTTGTGCCTAGGCAATCGTACCTTTGCACATTATTAGGGAAATAATACAGCAAGGTTCTTTCCTGCGCTTGTTTCTTATGTGGTCATAACGTGAGATCTACTCGCGATAGAAATCGCTGTAAACATTACAGAGATTTCTACGATAGCTAAACTCGTTGAAAGATAATGGATCGCACCGTACGGCACTCGTTTACGCCCCTATAAGAGCAATGTTGCCAAAGAAGTAGAGCCCTCCTACGCTAAGGATGTCTCAGACTTTGCTGACCTTCGGTGTGGCAAGTAGTTCAGCTCTTTTGGTGGCTGCGTTACTGGCAGCAGCATGGATGGTCATGGATATGGGAAGATACGAGGACAACTTCATGAATGGACTTTCGAGCTTTAAGGTATTTTTCATATTTTTTACTTCCATCAAATGGGTTGCCTCACAGCTTTTTTTAAGTTGAGCACTAGGATAAATATACTACGATCATTTCTTGTTAATTTTTAGCTGAAAAAATATAGCAAGTTGTATTTCTTTAATCTGTTTAGCTTGACAGCGAGGCCCAGAAATTTTTTAAGAGGGGAGCGACAAAGATCTTCTCTAATATAAAGCGTAACGTTAGCCACAGCTTTGCTCTTTGAGTAGTAAACTAAAACAAGTAAAATAAAAATAAGGTGAAATTCTATTGAAGTCGGAATAATCAACAGCCTAATTTGTCACTTCGCGCTTATATTGTCGATTTAGGATGAGTCCGGAGCACTATGGGACCAAATGATGTCAAAGGATAACCATCGATTTGTAAGAGAAGCACGAAGACATAAAGCAAATCGTAAACACCGCCAGCAAGCCGCTAATACGCGTATGTTTTTTCATACCATACTTTGAGCGGAATGTTAATGAAATAAGTTTAGAATATGCAGAGAATCCTGTCGGCGCTGGAGCTAACGGATTTAACGAAGATGAATGCTGTAAGTACATAGATTATGTTTCAAGTCAATGTAAGCGATCACTTTAGCATGCCCAACCACATCTTGCCCAGCTGGCCCACCAGGCCCACCTGGTTCTAACGGATTGCCTGGAGGTTGAGACTATGGTAACTATTCCAGCAAATTCGATAATTTACCTTGTAGAGGATGGTTCCAATGGTTTGGATGGTAAGCCTGGTATACCAGGCATGCAGATGGTCTTTGGTCAAGCAGCTCAAGGATGTATACAAGTAAGTTCAGTACATTCCAAGACCCCTCAATAAATCTACTTTTCCAGTGCCCAGCCGGCGAACCAGGGCCACCAGGACCTGACGGCGCACCTGGTCCAGCTGGAAACCCTGGCGCAGCCGGTGCTGCAGGAAACGAAGCGGGTCCTGGGGAACCCGGACCACCAGGTCCTCCAGGTCCACCGGGATCTGTCGGAGTGCCAGGAAAACGAGGTGCAGATGGTGAACCAGGCAGAGTCACAAAAAGACATATTGCTGGACAACCTGGACCTCCCGGTCCACCAGGACCACCAGGAGAGATGGGTGCAGGTAAGATTCAGGAGTTTATGACTCGCTTTGAATATGACCTTCAATTTCTCCGTTATAGCCGGAGAAGCCTATGTGCAAGCACCATCAGAACCCGGACCACCTGGTCCTCCAGGTGCTCGTGGAAAGAGAGGAGCTGCCGGCCTTGATGGAATACCAGGATTGCCAGGAGCAGACGGTGCACCTGGTAGAGATGCTGCATATTGCCCATGCCCTCCGCGTAGCGGAGTCCTAAGCGCCGCAGTCCATCGCAGATCAGAAGGAAGTGTTAGAGAATTCAGTATAGGTGGTGCAGCACCACCCGCAGCAGTCCCACGTCTTCACGTATTCGGAAACGTAAAAGCGCACGGTGTTGCTCAAAAACGAGAAGGCCTCGTTCTAAGCAAAACGGATGCTCGTAGAAAGCACTGAAATTAGTCTGACTCTACTACAACCATTTATTCAAATCCTGTCATAGTTAGTTGCGTACAGATAAACATGACAACGCCACACTGTCATTTTACTGTTGTTTCATTATTAGGTTGTCCCAAAAGTAAACTCCTTTTCTAGATAGATCAAGCTGTGTTTGTCTTCCTAGCAGACTTAGGGTGATAAAATGAAAACTTATAAAATGACCACCCGCAGCTTAAAGGCAGTGTCCGGGCAAGATGGAGGTTTTGGGATTTCAGTGCCATGCGAGAGTGGCCCCCCTCAGACACAACAACGTCATAACACTCGACCTAAAGCAAGAAAACGACCGAAAAGTGCGGAAACTTACGCCTTGGGATGGTCCTCCGAGCTTTCCGAAGTCCTGCTATGCGGCTATGCGGCAGAGTACGCATGCCGCCACAGTTAAAATGTAGGGTCCCGCAGCGACTCTGCGTCTCTGCCTTGGTGGGGACCGTCGAATTTCAAATAGTGCGGCTTCGCAAAACGTATGTTCTCACCGTTTTCGCGCCTTCTAACATGGATTTTCGGATTCAGCGTTGTGGATAGCCTCCGATAATTGGGTAGTCCAGATAAAGGTTGGAGCCAAAATCGAATAAAATTTTATCACCTGAAAAATTTTTTACGAAAAAAAACCTGCAGACCTCCAACTTGGACATCATACAGTAGATACATAGTAGTCCTCAGATTTGCCTTTACTGGGCTTTTCCGCCCATGGAGAGCGAGAAAAAAGATAGTCCAAAATGGCAACTCCGCCCCCAGCCCCTCCCACATATACTAAAAGCATGCCAAAGCTTGTATACTAAAAGCGGCTCGGTGGGCTGTTGCGGCTTGGTGAGCTCAGCACCTCCTTGCTTCGCTCGACTGCCTGCACAACCCTGCACCTACTGCCTACAAACCTAGCGCCGGTTAGCTACTCCGGCGCGTCCGACAAACTACCCCACTACGAGAAACATGACGCGCGGCTAGATTACTAACATTTATCTAAATAACAACAAATGCACTACAAATACTAAGCTACGGAATTACCCAAAAGCTAAAGAAGGAACAATACACGGGACGAGTCCGCCTCGTCTCAAGCCGCCGATGAACATCAACCTAATTCTAGCACACGATGTCAGGGGAATCACCTGGGTCGACCGCCTACTCTCGCCTCCGCGTAGGAAAGTTCCGACCCTCTCCACTCCCGGTACTAACTTTTCCACAAAAGCTCTAAACTTTCCTCGCGCGTTAGCGCGGTACAATCCAAAAGCCATAACAATCACTTGCTCGCAAGACTTCATCCAGGGGAGCTTGCCGGGTTGGCTGCCAACACAATCAATAAGGTGAACGTGAGAAATCAGGAAATAATTTGAAAACGAGGTCGGAAATCAGAGAGGCATATGCCGCCAACTGCGCGGCCTTATATACCCCTCGACCTAGCAGCGCGCCCAAGCGAGGAAAGGTCCGGGCGCGAGTTTTAAAAGGCGCACCCGATCCGGCGGCATGCAGTGCCCGGCACCTGAATCGAGGTGAGGCTTGCATCGCGCGAGCCGCGACACTCCCCCCCCCCCCCCCCCGAGACAGTGGCTTGGACGTTCGAATGGTGGTTACGTGATAGCACTGACGACCACAGGGGATGCATCCTACGTTAGGTTTTAGAAGGTAGACAGGTAAAAGAACAAATTCTATCGGCGGCAGGGTAGAGCGCGTAAGAGATGACCTGGGAGAAAACCCGTCCCGTAGGGTAACATACATACGCAATTAAGCACACAACAAATACATGGAGTGACTGAGATTAATTGATTGGTTAAACACGGTTAAGTGCGGTTAAATGCGGTTAAATGACGTGATTAAATATGATAACTACATTTTACAAAGGAGAGTAACTGGATAACTGAGGTGGCTAAATATGAGGTGGCTTAAATGTGAAAACTAACACTACGAAGAAGAATAACTGCTCAACTGAAGTGATTAAATGAAACTAACTATGAACTAAAATGGTTATGTGAAGCTAAGTGTGCATCTAGACGTGCTTAAATATGAGGTGGTTGAATGCGAAGTGGATAACTATGAAGACCATGTGCATGTGTGAACGACGAGCCATGTGCGACCATACAACCACAAAACCATCTCCAACAACCATGACCACAAGCAACAACAACCATGTGCGAGACTACCCATGACCACACCATACCATTCTACCAGATGCCACTAAAACAGAAAGGGTTTATGAGGTTGGATAGATCATAAAGACAGAAACACACTAACCGTTTTCCATCGTTCCACTTACTACCGTCACACACGGGCTCGCCCTCTACACTATTCGCGCGCGCGGCAGGGAGGCTGCGATGTTTCAGCGCGCGACAAAGCAAAACTCCCAGATGGTATTGGGGGATGGGTATTTGCGTCCAGCCAAGCATAAAATTCTTCGTGCGTTGGGAACCAATCCGTGTCGCACAATTTGGGTTTTCTTCATACAAAAGGAGCGATGGTGACGTTCTCCTCCGCCATTCCAACAATACAGGGTGTCCCAAAAAAATGTTTCGAACGTTTGATCGTTAATATCTCTCTTCCCAAAAAGTCTTTTGCCTTGCTTCAGGTACCGTTTTGTAGAGCTGGCTTCAACTTAGATTTCCATTATAGAACGAATCACCCACCTCTCTTCATAAACTGTAGGATTACGGTAGAAACTTGAAACATATGATGTCAATGTGGAAAAAGCTGCCGTTTCAAAATTTTTCAAAAAATTGTAAAAACTTGTGTAATAGGGTTTTTATAGACGCTGAGTTCAATACTCAACTATTCACAAGAACGAAGCTTTCTAAACGGTGTAATCGCACTTTTTAGGAACATTGAAAAAATGGCCGCTACCTCTTAGGGTTGTTTCATACTGCCGCACTGACTGCAGCAGTCTGCACTGACCGCAGCAGATTGCAGCAGACTGCAGCTGACTGCACTGACTGCAGCAGACTGCAGCAGACTGCAGCTGACCGCACTGACCGCAACGTCCGCAGCGGCTGAAGCCTGCAGGCGGAGAGGATAAATAGCTGTGGTTCGAACAAACAACAACAATATATACGTAAAAGCAAAAGACAACACGGTTTAGAATGTTACAAAACAGGTATATGCAATGATAGGAGGAATCAGAACAAATACGAACATACCAAAGAAAACTATCGCCAAAATTTGATTGAGAAGAATTCTGATGGAACTTATGATCTTCTTATGCGCAAATCTGTTTTGATAATCGCGGTTGTTTTTTCTTTTAAGAAAAGAGGCTGCGACCGGTGCGGTCAGTGCGGTCAGTGCGGTCAGCTGCAGTCAGCTGCAGTCTGCTGCAGTCTGCTGCAGTCTGCTGCAGTCTGCTGCAGTCTGCTGCAGTCTGCTGCAGTCTGCTGCAGTCAGTGCGGCAGTCTGAAACAACCCTTACCTGGCATAACTCTTCAATGAAGCATCATAATAAATTGGGAACTTCACAGTTATAATCAGCAACTGTAATTAGCCTAGTGTAAAAGCTTTCAGGCTGTTTTGTTTCCTTTCTGAGGCAAAATGTGGCCTTTCATGGTTCAAAACCCTCTTTGAAGTTTCTACCGTAACCCTACAGTAATGAAGAGAGATGGGTGATTCGTTCTATAATGGAAATCTAAGCTGAAGCCAGCTATACAAAACGGTACCTGAAGCAAGGCAAAAGACTTCTTGGGAAGAGAGATATTAACGATCAAACGTTCGAAACATTTTTTTGGGACACCCTGTAGTATTGCTTTTTGTATTTTCCGTGATGCTTCTTGAGACATACCAAACAAAATCCTTCCTCCAGCGCAACTTCAATCCTCTTGGAAATGGATGTTACCACACTGCATTCGGCGCTGAAGTGCCCATAACCTTCACAAAAAACACATGGCGGTAAAAGTCCAGCCGTATAGTAGATGCCGAACTAGGTTCGGCCGCCTCGAGTTGCTGAGAGGAATCTAGTCCGCCCTCCCGCGCGACAGGATTAACCTGAGGCGAAAGGACTGGTGGAATGGACTGGTTCCTCTCAAGCTCTGTGACTGGCGCTGATATACGCGTCAATGGTATAATTACTGGACTCGAGTGACTTTCAGATGGCGAAGGTGATGGAGACTGCGGTGCTTGGGTGCTTCGGATGGCGTCTTCTGTCTGCATTGGCTGGGTTGGCGATAACGCGCTGATGTTCAGCGCGGCTGGTGTTGTGGCAAGTTGAGGCTGATCACTTTGAAATTCTACTCGTACAAATCGTTTCTTTTGTTGTTGCGCGAATGGATCTTCACTATGCGCAATTTCCAGATAGTCTTCGGTAAGCGGACCATGGAGTTGTTCCTCGTAGTTTTCCTGCCACCATCTAAGTGCCTGGATGTAGGTGGTCGGTACGAAGGGGATCTGAACTGATGGGATTGCGAGCTGCGTATACTGCTTGTCGATCTTGGTGACTTTTTGCCGTAGATGCGTCATGACGAATTCCATCTGGTAGTACTCAAGCGTGCGCGTAAGACGGATAGCATGCGCAACTGCGGCTGACACGGCCATAAGCTTTTCCATGATTACGCTTTCGCTGATCTGGTAACCAACTAGCGTGTCAAGAAACGATTGCGAGCGCGTGAAAAAGTGCGATAGTAAAGCCTCACTGATGATGTCGCGGTGTACCGTGATGCCTGTGATAATGTGCTGAATTATATGAATGTACGCCATGTACCTCGCGTATGATATGCTAGCTTTGTCCGTGCGCAGCAGCAAGGTCTGAGTATTGAGGAAGATGTTATTGGCGCAATCCAACACGGCTGCAAGCTTACGAATGTGAAAGACGATACGCGCGATGTGGCGCTGTTGCTCAGGTGTCAGGAGCGTAGTATCTGCGGCTTGCGGCTCTGGGTGCGCGCGACCAGACGTGGCGATGAACGCAAAAACTCTGCGTAACTGCGCAGCGGTAAGTTCCTCTACCGTATGTGGCAACACTCCAACGACATCTTGCAAAGCAGGGATGACATGCGCATGCGCGTCCGGCGCTGGGTTGGGCTACAAGGGTCTTAAGTTAGGATCACTGGGTACGCGAGATCGCAAATCGCGCTGCTTCTTGCAAATGTCGTCCAGGATCTCTCTCATCTCCAAACTGTCTTCGCAATGCGCTAGTAGACGTCGTGCTTCGAAGGTGATCAACTGCGCAACTGATTCGCTAGAGGGCTGCAGTGCCTGCGCTAGAGGTAGACGCAAGTAGCGAGCGGCTACGCGGTTGTGCGCTAGAGCTTGCCGTGCGCGACAGCAACGAGCATGACGAATGCTTCATGATGGCGACACGGTACAAGTACGTACGGCGCAGCTGGAAAAATGCGCCAATGATTGCACTAATAAAATATGCGTAGCAATAACGAAAAGTGAGGGCTCAATGCAAGAAAGAAGAGTTTGAGAAACAAAAAATTGATAGAAGTTTTAGTGTAAAAATTGATAGAATGTTTTGGTGCCAGAAGATTGTGCGCGTTATGTTTTGAAGAGGCGCAAAATGTGCGCGCAACAAGTGGAGGCCCCAAGATGAAAAGAGAATTGAGAAAATGAAAGGTTTTTACTAAGCTTCTTACTTGTATTGTTCCCTCGTAGAAGGTCCTTGCCCGGGGTCTCGATAGTCCGGTGGATGACAGCTGGCTAACTTTGTTGACAATGGTAGTGACAAGTGAACAGGAGCTGACACTAAACAAGTTCACAGTAAGGGGTACATACAAGGCATGTAAAACTGGTGCACATACGAAGTCAAAATGCTGAATCTACAAGAAAATACAAGAGAAACTATGAACTTATACAAGGGAGCCTATGATGAGCACTATGCGATCAATAAGGTTTCGTAATGAGCGAATTACATTTTGCCACTAGGTTGACAATCGCGCGTTGCCTGACGACGATTCGTGCCGGGACCCAGCGCAGTCTAAAGATGGACTTAGACAAGGGAAAATAATCTCATCGCTCATCAAAGCGCGCTTGTAGCGCTCATCTATAGAGAAAAGAGTATGCAATAACTAAGAAAGAAAGAGAAAAAGGATCAAAGAAAGGAAATCAAAGTAAATTAATATGTGTACCTGCTTTACGGCTGTGCTCACTCCTTAGATGTTCCAGAAGGGGTATCCTTAACTGCAAGGTGCTTGTGATCTCTCTCAGGGATGTTATCGTCATCTGCCACTATCTCCAGAGGTACCAGATGATTGATTGAACGTTCCAGTATTTTCTTTCTGGCTGTCCGGATCTTGGCTGATCTTACGTTGCCATCGGATGATGTGTGAAGTTCCAGGATGAGTGCTAGTGGCCAAGTTGATCGATGCGCGTCCTATCTGACGAGCACTACTTCTCCTACGCGGGGTGGTTTTCTGCTAGACTGACCGTTCGAGCGTCTGATCTGTCTCTGCGCTAAGGCACCAAGATAGTCACTCTGCCAAAGCTGCCAAAAATGGTCTAAATCTTCCTGCAGAAACTTATAGCGCGTACGGAGCGCTCGATAACTTTCGCTCGTCGCGTTAGCGATCTTCTGGGGCACATGTTTCCGGTCAACCTTGCCACTTGGAAATCCGTACTGATTAAGTCAATGGATCTTATGGCCATATTCGTATCCGGATCGGATGAGTTCACCGGAAAGAGAGGTCTGGTGTTGAGAATTGCCTCGATCTCGATGATGAGGGTTTCTAGTAGCCAAATGTCCAGCGTTTAACTCCGTACCGTCTTCTTCAGCGCGCTCTTGCCCGATCCGACTAATCGTTCATAAAATCCTCCTTTCCATGGCGAGTACCGAGTGATGAATGTCCATTTGATGTTATGGCTGGCACAAAGGTGGTTGATCTGCCTATAGTCCTTCACAACTGGCAACTCATTCTTGATAATCTCCTGTCCCAGCTTAAAGGTAGGCGCGTTGTCGCACGTTACTGTGTCCATTTTCCCTCGACGTGCCATGAATCTCCTGAAAGCCTAGTATAAACTGTAAAGTAGAATTGTCTCTTACCACTTCTAGATGGATTGCGCGCGTTGAGATGCACGTAAAAAGACAAATCCACACTTTTTGACGCTCAGATGACTGCAAGCGAACAAGAATGGGTCCAAAATAGTCGAGGCCGATATGCTGGAATGGGTGACTCCTAGTTACCCTCTGTGATGGAAGGTCCGGTGCGTACGGATACTTATAAGGACGGGCTTGATACCTTCTGCAAATCACACATTTGGAAATAACGGACTTAACCAAACGTTTTAGCTTAGGTATGAAGAAGGTCTGACGCAAGGTGGTTATCAAATGGGACGGTCCAGCGTGAAATAGCTGGCAATGATTTTACATGATCAACAAATAACAGAGAGGATGATCCGACAATATAAGGATGGGTTTAGTGGAATTGTCGGTCTGCGCGTTAGACATGCGCCTATCCACTCTGATAATGCCGTCGTTGTCGCACGTCGTGCGAAACTTTTTCATATATGAACTGTTCAACTGTTTCTGGCCTTCTCTGTAGTGCTCACGTATTCAGCCGTCTTAAAGTCGTGTGGTGTTACTACGGGTGTTATGTCCATCGTGCCTAAAACTGATTGCGCGTCCTGATGTTCGCGATGACGACGCGTCTCAACTCGGTGATGCGCTCTGGCCAAAAACTTAAGGACATATGCTGTGATGCGGACCAGCTTAGTGTACGAGTTGGTGCGCGTAAAAGGCACGAAGGATACATAAGGTTCGGAGATGGTATTTGTCGAAGTTGTAATCGTCTTCTTCTGCTTCTGCACCTGGTAACGAACTGACTGATGGTTCAAGACTCTTCCAGGGCCACTGCGAAGAGGGGGTCGCGAAGAAGCTTGGGCCTGTCCTCCATATATGGTCTTGGAGCTCTGTGGCTGTTAGTCCACGGGTGGCACAGTCCGCCGGGTTGTTATCCGTGTTCAGGTAGTAAAATCCGGTAGCGATATTGTCCGCTCTCAACTCGTCGAGCACGCGACGGATGTATCTAACGCGGTTTGCAACGTGAGTCTTGAGCGGCTTGCGCGACTGAATCCAATACAAAACTATCTGGGAGTTGGTAAGAAATCTGACTGACTGAAAGCTGACTTTACACTAGCTTCTAAGGAACTTCGCGGTCTTAGCTGCCATGTGACAAGCTAAAAGTTCCATGCACGGGATGGTGATCGCGCCTGGAGCAGCTAACTTCGCTTTCGCGAAGAGCAGTGTTGGTCTTGGACTATCGTTCGCGTGACGCGTCAAGATGTAAACAGCGGTAACATAGACTCGCTTAGACGCGTCCGAGCAAAGAATCAAATCGTAGGCATTGTCACAAGTAACCCCAAGATAGCGCGGAACCTGCGAGTGAAAGTCGCTTATCTCCTGCATGATGATATTCCATTTCTCAATATCTGCCTCAGTAAGAGGGTCATCCCAGTCATAACCAGACTCCCACAAGTCTTGTATGAACATCTTAGGTGTTATCAACAGCGGTGTTAGTAGTCCTAAAGGGTCAAACGTAGATGCATAAACTCTCAATGCAATCCTCATGCTCGTTACAGGTTGACGTGCGATGTTAACAGGCACGTGAAGTACGTCGAGCTTAGGATTCCATTTGATCCCCAGGAATTTGGCGAATGGTCCGTGTATTGTCATACGATCGTGTTCAGGAATCGAACGCATCGTACTCTCACTGTTCGACATGAACTCACAAAGGTTCACGGACATTCGCGCGAAGATTTCCTTGCATTGCTTACACTTGTCCAAGCAGTCGTAGTTGGAATCCGCTCCGACAATAAGATTGTCTACGTAAGTGTTAGCAAGAATTTCTTCTTTGGGACGATTTGCCGGATCCTGTTCCAAAAAGTATCTGATGGACATATTGAGTAGGAAAGGTGATGCGTTAATACCGAACGGCACGCGCGTGAAGCGTAGTATGCGAAGATCGTCCGTCGATGGTGGTTGTCGGACATCTTTCAGCCAGAGGAATCTTGCCCTTTGATCCTGATGTAAATGGATCTGATGGAACGCTTTTTCCACGTCAGCGATGATAAGGAAGCGATGGAATCTGCTTCGCATCAGAGTTCGCACTAAATCTGGTAATAAGGAAGGCCCTTGGTATAAGCAGTCGTTTAGGCTGGTATAAGCAGTCGTTTAGGCTTGGACAGCCTTTCTGATGACTCGGCGCGTCAAAGACTGTCCTTAGTTTGGTGGTAGAACTGTCTTGTTTATATACGGCTTGATGCGGAATATAATACGTACTCGAGCCTTGCGCGGCAATGCCCGTGACATCCTCAATTATGCCAATTCGCAATTGATCTTCTATTGTCCTGCAGTAGTCTTTCCAAGCTTCTGGTGTCGCGCGAAACTTTTCATACTGACTCGGCAATCGGCGAAAGGCTAGAGGTTTGTTATCCTCGAGAGGCGGATGCTCTGACTTCCACGGAAACGATACATAGATGCTGCCGTCTACAATGGCGACCTTGTTGTAAAACTGCCTGATGACTTCGGCATTGTCCACATCTTCGCCTTCATCCATTCCGAGTCGAGTCCAAAGAGGCTAAGTACAAGTCGTTCGTTCTCTGGCTCGTCTTCGTCCGATGATGTGTGAGCAGTCGAGAGACTATTGGATACAACTGGGTGTCGTATACCGGACAAAACTGGTCCGAATCTCGTGTGTGACAGGATGAGTCCCGATGGAAGCCTCTCATTCCTCTGCAGATCAACAACACGCCCATATTTATCTATTCCGATAAGCACGTCGACATGCACTCTGTCTGCAGGATTGACGATGGTATTGTCGATGCGATCGTTAGTCCGGGGGACCGTCGTAATCTTCTCGCGCGTCCATAGCACAAGCTGGATCGGATGTTCATATTGATCCCATAGCGTGAGAGTGACCTCTGACGATTCTTCCGTAAGTTCATGTCCTCCAAACGTCAGGGTCGTGACTGTCCTCGTATTCCTAAATGTTAGGCCCAGATGTTTGGCCAACGCAGTGCAAATAAAGCTATACTGCGAACCGCTGTCCAAGAAAACTGTGAGCAGCTCGCTCGTCTGAGTCTTAAAATTATTTGTTATGGCATGAACTACCATTAGACGAGGCTCTTGAAGTGTCGGTCGATTATGACAAACAGACGTACAGGAAGGTGGCGAATGCGCGCCTGAAGCTCGTGACTGGTCGTCAGATGACTCTGCTTGCATGTCCATGGTAGTACGAAATGCGACGGTGCAGTTGGTGCTGTGTACCGCGGATGTAGGACTGCGTGACCTATAGGATGGTGAAGTACGCCTAGACGGTGTTGGGGAAAACCTACTCCTAGATGGTGATGGAGATCTAGACTGGAAACTGCGTGATGACGCGCGCGGAGTACGCGACCTCGTGCGAGATGACAAGCCGTAGGATTCCTCGTAGAACTGTACGCGTCTGGGCGATCGAGATCTATGGGAGTCCTGATAGAGAGTCTGCCTAGACGTCGGAGTTGGCGATCGCGCAAAGAGGAAACTTCAAGGCAAAGGGACCTATGGTGTATCCTATTGCAATACGGACAAAGAGAAGCGTCGCAATACATATAAGTATGACCGGGTTGTAAACATAGCCAGCAAAGCTTATTGCGACTGACATACAGTCTACGTTGCCTAGCATCGAAGTTTCTACAGCGATCTGACGGATGTCCAGAATTGTGGCAAAAGACACACTGCGGGTCGGATGAGGTTTCGTAACGCGATCTACTGGGACTATACGACGCACGCCTAGGGTGATATGGTGTTGGAGGTCTGTCCTGTCTTGTGCGAGGGGAGGGTGTGCGCGATAGTGAACGTCTTGCACGCGATGGTGTGCGATAGCGCGTGAACGCTTCACCTGTCCTATCCTCGCGTGGGTATCTTCGAGGAGAAAGAGAGTGTTGACGAACAGCTGACTGGGCGTTGTAAGAGTGATAGTCCGAAGGGTCTGCATCCTCTGTGTTCTCTAACCTATCAATGATGGTATCCAGCGTAGCAAGCAATTCATCAACCGTCCACATCGGATCTCCTTTGTTCTTAAAGGCAGCGTCCAGGCAGATCTGGACCTATGGGGCTTTTACGTGGAAAGTACTTTTGGGGCCCTAACTAAGGCACTGCCCAAGCGGCAGCTCAGGTAGTGCTGCAATGGCTGAGATATTCTCATCGAAACTGGCCCCCGCGACCGTGTTTCGCATGGGTTCATGGCGCAAAGCGTGGATCCTGGCGCGAAACTGCCATAAATCCATGCGTATACGTTCGCGGGGGCTAGTATCGAGGGGAATATCTCAGCCATTAGAGCACTACCTGAGCTCCCGCTTGGGCTGTGCCTTAGTCAAGGCCCCAAAAGTAATTTTCACGTAAAAGCCCCATAGGTCCAGATCTGCGTGGACGCTGCCTTTAAATTCGCCAATCCTCTCACGAGTACGCCGAGAAAACTTGGCACGAATGATCTTGAGCGTGCCGATTGCGCGAGTCTTCCTTAAGATGTTGAAGCTGGGTCCATGTAGCTCTTATAGCGCAGAGTGCCGCGCGTTGTGACAACGGCGAATCGGAAGCTGATGGTAACTGCAACAGCTTGTCCCACAGCTTATTGCGTAGGATCTCCGGGCGACCATACGTGTTATTCAAGATGTTATGCTTCATCGTAGTTCTCAGCCGTTGATTGAAAGCCGGCGATGATGTTCGCAGCAGGTCCTCGTGAATGGGACTTCATATACGTGAACTTGACTGGCACAGGTACACTGGTGTTATTGTGCAAGGCCGTCGAAAAAAGGTCCCAAAACTCGTAGAACCTGTCGATATCGCCATGAAATGTTGAAATCTCGAAGCTCGGCAGTTTCAACGATTGCTCCACGGACGATTGCGATGAAGTGGGGTTGGGAGGAGTAGAAGATACTGCAAAAGGATTCGGTGAGGGGCAAGAAGAAGTCATAAAGGGATTGCCAAAAGTTAGCGGGTGATTGGGGGAGACACCGAATCCTTGGGTGGCGCTTGACGCCCGCGGTGGTAGGGTATCAGCTGACGCGATATCAGGTTCTGACGGACGATACTGATCTTAGACAAAGAGTGGCTCGCGATTTCCTCTCTCACGTCCTGCGCAGGCTGATCGGTCAGGTTGGTCTTGGGTAGGATGAGGAGAAAGGTTATCAGATGAAGAAGAAGGAGGAACAACCGGAACACGCATAGAATACAAAACTTCCGAGCTCGGCAAGAGCTTGATCGCAATATCAAGACGAGCATGGAGAGTGTCAGCTTCCTCCAGAGTTGATCCAGTTCACCAGCGTCCCAGTGGTCCTGAATCTGCTGAAGGAAGGGAAACTCGCCCTGCTCGTCAGGATTTTGACGAGCAAACTCTTCGGCTTTCTCTCTCTGGGCGCGTAGATGCGCAATAGCACGTTCAATGAGTATGAATTTCAAAAAAAGTGAACTCTAATGACTCAAAATAAAGTGTGGATCCTTACTTGCCTCCAAAACAGGATCCAGCGGTTGAAGAATGGCCTCATCGACTTCTGAGATCTTCTCACGAAGTGCTTTGGCGGCCTTGGTGATTCGGGCTTTATAGCTTCCGAGAAGCGACATTACCTGAAAGAAAAAACAAAGAATAACAGTCTAACATGTAAAATACAAACAAACGATAAATATGATGTGAGTAATATATGATGTGAGTGACCTAGACCAACCTAAAACCAAAAGGGGTAAACCACCATTGGGGCTACTTACTTACAGGCGCAAAGCAACAATTACGACAGGATGTCACCAAAGACCGAAGCGCTGATGGTGATTGCGCGAGTAATAAGATGAAGGAATGGTGACCTGCCCGGAGGTCCTTCGGTAGTTCCAGGGCTCCTATCGGCGAGTAGGAAGATTTTGGGCTGCTGAACCACCTTTCCAGAGGGCCGTGCCGTAACGATGATCTTCCCATACGGACTCCTCGCCAGTTAGAGGGTGTGGGCATAGTCTTGTTGGCCAGGCTCAGAACGGGACTGGTAGTGCCGACCCACAATATCGGATGCCAGGCCGGTCCGTGGACTCTTGGCCAACAAGGCTCACCAGATGAGCTGGTACCCTTAATGACTATTGAGGGGGCCTATACTGGGGCGCGGCCTTAGTAGCTAGGTGCCCTCCACAATTGAGTCCCAAGCAGCTAACAAGGGAAGTCACTTAACTTAGGTCGGGCTTTTGAAATGCGACACTTATGGTTGAAATCAGCTTGAAACTGATTTCGAATCTGCTTTCCTTAGCTGCGAAGCATTCCTCTGAAGCGAGTTATGAGCTTTTTCCTGAGCAAATTCTGCGTGTTGGCCGATTTAGGCATGCTACGGTATCATCATCTAGGTAGTGGTTCAAATGCATATTATACCCTATCAAAGCCAAATGACTCAATTCGATGTGATTTTGATTTTCCACCACTTTTTGGGCAGATTTTCATCTAAAGACCTTCTTTCCATATTCAGTTGTATGTCAATGACACATACTAAAAAAGCTCATAACTCGTTTCAGAGAAATGCTTCGCAGCTAGGGATAGCATATTTGGAATCAGCGTTTCGAGCTGATTCTAAATATATGTGTCTCATTTCAAAAGCCCGACCTAAGTTAAGTGGCTTCCCTTGTAAGACCTAAATGAATGCCCCTTTTATGAGGAAGAAGCAAAGGTGGAAACTATGGGCCTAAATTAAACAAGCGGAATTGCGAAATGTGACTGTGAAAGCGCGAAAAGAACTAAGGAAAGTAGGAGTAGCGCGAAATTTTAGGGACCCTCTAGTACTCCCTCCGGAGACGCTCCCACGCTAGCGCCCCCAATACGCAAATCTCCGGTGTGGTTCAGGCTTCTAGATGGTGAAAAGAACGGTGCACAAGAGCGAACAGGCACCAATCACTGTATGAAATAAACGCTGCATGCTGAGGCTTCAAGTTGACAAAGCTGCCACCATCCTGCCGCCTATCCACCTCACGTTCACAACATACTCATGGCTACCATTCCTGCATTCTGCCACTGTTCGTTCGAGTATCTTCTGGCGTCGTTGTTGTTCGATCTTCTTATTGTGCTGAGCGTGGTAGACTTAGGTCCGTTACGCACGCATGGAAGATGGGATGGCGCGTTCCCATAACGGCGTCCAGCTGTTGTCCAGTCCGTCCTCAATCTTCGCGTCCATTCCATACGCGGGCGGAATCCTCCATCGTCCATGCGCTCGGCGTCGATGCACCATGTTGCGGCTCGGTGGGCTCCTTGCCTCGCTCGACTGCCTGCACAACCCTGCACCTACTGCCTACAAACCTAGCGCCGGTCAGCTACTCCGGCGCGTCCGACAAACTACCCCACTACGAGAAACATGACGTGCGGCTAGATTACTAACATTTATCTAAATAACAACAAATGCACTACAAATACTAAGCTACGGAAATACCCAAAAGCTAAAGAAGGAACAATACACGGGACGAGTCCGCCTCGTCCCAAGCCGCCGATGAACATCAACCTAATTCCAGCACACGATGTCAGGGGAATCACCTGGGTCGACCGCCTACTCTCGCCTCCGCGTAGGAACGTTGCGACCCTCTCCACTCCCGGTACTAACTTTTCCACAAAAGCTCTAAACTTTCCTCGCGCGTTAGCGCGGTACAATCCAAAAGCCATAACAATCACTTGCTCGCAAGACTTCATCCACGGGAGCTTACCGGGTTAGCTGCCAACAAATCAATAAGGTGAACGTGAGAAATCAGAAAATAATTTGAAAACGAGGTCGGAAATCAGAGAGGCATATGCCGCCAACTGCGCGGCCTTATATACCCCTCGACCTGGCAGCGCGCCCAAGCGAGGAGAGGTCCGGGCGCGAGTTTTAGAAGGTGCGCCCGATTCGGCGGCATGCAGTGCTCCCGGCACCTGAATCGAGGAGAGGCTTGCATCGCGCGAGCCGCGACACCTTAATAAGTCTGACCTAAAAATTTCAACTCTGATGTGCTCTGGTAATCGGGAAATATTGAGTTAAACGAAAAAGGGATTTTGCATTTTCGGGTTACTCTAATTTCTCTGTTTAACACCCCGGAAAAGTTCACCAAACATTTTTTGGTACTACTATGTGTCTTTTGTATAAAGACCAAGTTGGAGGTCTGTAGGAATTAAGTGGAAGGAGATCCAATTTTTTGGTTAGTTGAAATACTTTGATTCTTGGCTTCAAATTTTACCTGATACGATTTAGCGATCATTTTGTGGAGTTTACTTCGTTCCGAATGATACCCTAAGCCTGCAAGAAAAATAAAACAGCTTGATTTTACTGAAAAGGATTCTATTGAGACAACCTAATACATCTCCTTATTTGTGTAAAAACGCTACGCTTTAATAACGCTACGATACGCTTTGGAATCATAAAATTGGAGTTTCTAGGAAATTTGGGTTCCTTCAAAAAAACATAAAAAGTTTGTTGTTAAGATAGTCGGTTGCGAGGAATATTCCAAAGTTGGATGCGAGGAAAGTTCCAGCTCTGTGAGGGGACATACTTATCCACTCCAGTGATTTCGAGAAATACATTTATGGTCAAATTCAGCGAGGCTTTAAAACCTACACAAAATAATTTGGAAATTACAATGATCTCTTTCAAAATTATCCATTTTGAAGAAAATCTGAAACAAGAAAAAACCACAAATATTCGAATTGACTTAATCAACTTATTCTTAGAAGGAAAGGACACGAGGTCATTGTAGGCTTTCCACGATTATGGAAATACTGGTTTTGGAGCGTTTCAAATCTGTGTTTGCTATCTGCAAAGCGATTTTCTGGACATGGACGTTTTTCGATGAACACTGTATGTTTTTTTGAAGTTCCTTTTTTTATCTTAGATTATTTTGAGAGAAGGTCATAAAGCGCTTTAAACCTAAATTCGGTATGCGTTGTTTAGTCTCATCATCCTCAAATAGATTTGAAATATATAGTTTGTGTCAATCATGTACTCTCTTTCCGTAAGCGCCTTTGCCATGCCAGAACTTCGGGCAAAGCGCGTTTGCGCGCGAATGGCTTGGGGACCAAATTCGTCTCACCGATTGAAGGCCCGCATGCAAGGCCCTCGCGTTACGTATGCATATTTCCTACGCGAAGGAGAGTACGCAGGTGACACAGACTGTAAATGTAGGCCAGAAACTTCCAAAAATGCGACCTAACGGTTCCTACTTCGGTCATTACTCCAGCAAAAGACTTCAAGCTCAGATCGTAACTCCGAACTGTGAGCAAAAGCACTTCGTGGTGATTTTGGAAGACGTGTATGGCCGTAAACTAGTTATCTGAGCGGGTGACAGTCGGAAAAATCGCGCCCGCGACCGTGTCGGCAAGAGATCTGAGAAGACGTCAGCAATGCAACCTGACGTGTATCAAGCACGCCTGTTAGCGTAAAGCTGTGTGTGCTAGTAACCATGAAAGCTTGTTATCTTTCATTTTTATCCCATCCCTTTCACACTTAACGTAGTGTATCCATAACTAAGAGGTTTTTGATTAACACGATAATCTTATTAGGCGCCAAAGAGTCGAGTCGATTCTAAGCTACTGACGAAGACAGAGTAAATTGCTAGTAATTGCGGCAAGAATTCCAGCAAATCCCGCATTTAACAAAAAAATATGTTTTTTCGCATTTCTCTGATATGGGCTGCCTCTTTGCGAAAGGTATGTGAACTTTTCTTTGATTGTATAACGTTTGTATAGGTCGTGAATTTTCGAAGGGGGTAGTCATCGCTGTTAAAAGTTCATCTCCTTACTTAACCGACTTTCTTTGATTGTTCCTGTGCTTCCGCTCATTTCCTTAAGAAAAGGTGGATTGATAAGCTTGACTTCTTACTCAGTTTTGCAAATTCTTTAAGTTGTCGAAGAAAATCTGCAACTGATTCATTTGCTGCATTTGGTTATCAATCGGTTGCAATCGATGTACTCTATATCGCGCGGGAGTCATGCGCTGATAACAATAGCATTTTATCAGAAACGCTGACCCTTCAACTATTCTACCATTGTTTCGCCGATGCGCGGATACTGTTGTTTGATCTTCTCTGACAAGACTAAAGAGCTGATTTCCATATCTTTCCTTGCTTGCGAAATGTTCCTGAATGGGCTAATTTTTGGATAGAGTTTAACCTGGAGGTAGCTGTTCAGAGATCTTTCATAGTTCTCATCAAAACCCGAGTCAGTTGTAAATTGTACAAATTCTTCACTTCTGGATAGGGTAATGAAGCTGCCTCGCGGCTTCATTAGCCGCGAGGAAGCTTGCTCGCACAAAATGTACCTATCTAGTCATTATGCCGTGACTATTCGTTTACGCGCAAAGTTGGCCGCCCAATCTCGGCACCGCAAGCACGCTATATTGCGCGAGAAATCTACTAGACTGTATTCACATGACTGTGGTGCTGAAGTGCTCAGTACTATAAATGTCAAAATGTGCATTTCTATATACCAGATGTATGGACGACTGAGAGCATATATCCATGTCTGCAAGTTTCATTCTCGTGTGCTCCTATTTGCAATTTATTGTCGACATTTCATGTGCACTGCAGTGTTTCAGATGTCCTACAGAGTCGGAGGAAACACTCTCAAAGTTCCAGCAAAGCTCTTCGCTGAGAATAGGTCCCGCCTCGTGGCTGCATTGAAGGTAATGAACGTTTTTACGTAAATTCCGCAAGCGTGCAAATGTAAGTGATAAATACTTTTAGGGAAAAGCACAACCCGGTAGTGTTGTCCTGCTACAAGGTGGAACAGAGAAAAACCGGTACAATACAGATGCAGAGGACTTACCCTTCAGACAGGTTTTTATCCTAGATTGGAAATTTGACGGAAAGAATGTCTCGGTTTTTAGGAGTCTTACTTCTTCTGGGCATTCGGTGTTCATGAGAGCGAGTTTTTCGGTACGATAGACGTCGAATCTGGGAAATCTTGCTTGTTTGCCCCTACACTGGATCCTTCTTATGCTATCTGGGATGGGAAGTAAGTTCGACTTTGATTCGAGGAATTTCTTCCAGAACTTTTGCATGTTCTTCTGTCTTACACAGACTTCTAAAGGGATTTTCAGGATAAACAATGCGGACTATTTCAAAACCAAATACGAGGTAGATCAAGTAGTTTTTAACGGGGAGCATGTCATATCTGATTATCTCAGCAATCACAATGCGAAGAATCTTTTGTTACTTGTAAGTTCAATTTTCGATATATAATATTTCGTTGAAATTGATATATTGTAGAGGGCTGAAAATTCCGACAGCGGGGTTGTCCTAGAGCCTCCTACATTCGCTGGCAAGGAAAAGTTGGTTTGACATTTCATATACGGGTCTTGTCTCCCAGTTCACTACCTGCCAGGTTTAACGTCGACGTAAAGTTGCTATACCCTACAATGGCCGAACTACGTGTCTTCAAAACAGATAAAGAGTTGGAGGTAGGACAAAGTGTATTTTGTTGATAGCCCCATTTGATTCTTTGGGTTAGGTGATGAGATACGCTTGTAAGATCGCATCAGAAGCTCATAAGGCAACAATGAAGGCCATTCGTGCCGGGTTGTATGAATATCAAATGGAAAGGTACTTTCCTCTTATACATATCAATGAATTCTACATCAAACCTCTGCAACCTTTGCACCTCTGGAATTACAGTGTCTTCCGTCATACATCCTATTACCATGGTGGATGTCGCCATCTTGCGTACACCTGCATTGCGGCAAGGTGAACTTCAGTTTGTTGAGGAGTTTTTTGATAATTGTTTATCTTATTTGCAGCGGTGCAAATGGCTCAATTCTTCATTATGGGCATGCCAATGCGCCGAATGATAAGCAAATCAAAGACGGTGATATGTGTCTTTTTGATATGGGACCTGAGTATGCATGCTATGGTTAGTTCAGTTAAAGTAAAGAAAAAAGCTTCAAAGGATACTTTTAGCCTCTGATGTCACAACATCATTTCCTGCTAATGGGAAGTTCACAGATAAGCAAAAGATAGTTTATAATGCCGTACTTGATGCGAATCGTTCCGTATTCAAAGCAGCAAAGCCAGGTTTGTTTCATGCAACCATTTGCATCTATACTCCATAGAGTTTCAGTAGTCTAGGCGTACGCTGGACCGATATGCACATGCTCGCTGAAAAAGTCATTCTAACACATTTGAAGAATGCAGGGCTACTTACAGGTATGCATTACTACTCTTTTAGGCCATTTTTGGTTCACCGTATGACCGGATATGTTCCTTTCTATAGATTGATACTTTTTCCTAGGAGACGTAGATGCTATGCTTGCTGCTCGAATAGGAGCGGTATTCATGCCTCATGGGCTTGGTCATTTCCTTGGTCTTGATGTGCATGACTGTGGAGGTTACCTAGGGGTAGGATCTTTGTACACTGCAGTAAACTTTCCGCTTAATACAATGTGCTGTGCGGTGGAACTTGCGTATGTACAAATGGATATCAAAAGCCGGCGATTCGCGCGAGCAAGTATTCTGTATTACAGGCGTAGATCTGTTCAAGCACAAGTTTTACCGCGAACTCTTGGCACCGCAAGAACACTATAGGCAGGTGCCAGACTTTCTGTTCTACCGGTTCATTCGGCTCAGCCCATTCGCTATTGGTCAGTTCAGTGATTGATCCAATGGCGACGGGTGAAGCGGATGAACTGGTTGCACCGTTTGTGCAAGTGGCACCTGTCATATTGAGAGGAAAATCTATTTGCGATAACGCAGGTTTTCATTCGAATTTGTGTGCTTTCAGGATGCTACACCACGTTCAAAACTTCCGGGACTGAGCTCTCTGCGAGTGACTCGAACTCTAAAGGAGAGAATGGTGCGTTGACTATACTCGACGAAATAGGATGAGTAGGTTACAAGTTTGTTAGCAAATATGTTTAGGTCATAACAATTGAACCAGGTTGTTATTTCATTGACACCCTACTTGATGCCGCTTTCAACAATCCCGAGCAAGCCAAGTTCCTCGTAAAAGATGAAATCAACAAGTACCGGGGACAGGGTGGGGTAAGTATCAGGCTCAATTTTTCTCCCCCCCCCCCCTCCCCCTCCCCCCCGCTGTAAATATTGAATCTCAGGTGCGCATAGAAGACGATGTAGTGATTTGGGAGAAGGGCACTGAAAATATGACCTTTGTTCCTCGAACTGTAGAAGAAATTGAACACTTCATGGCGTCTGAAGTGTTGAACGACTCCACCATATCCAAGAGCGTATCCGATCATCTCAGCAAACACTAACTTGGAAACTACCGGACATTACTTACCGAATTCTGCTAATATTTGTATTGTAAACATGGTTTTTGCAATAATTTTGAAGTCTACTTTGGTCACTTGTGCCTCCAGATGTCTGTGATAAAGCTTTGTTGTATTGATACAATACGATAATCTCGTCGAAGTGTTGCAAAAAAATTCTGTTGATTCTTTGATTTGACGAAGACCTAAAAAGCTGAATCTAATAAACAACAGCTAAGACTGAATTTACCGTCAATGTCAACGCTGAAGGTGGGCAACACGTTATTGTGCTCGCTATACTTTGAAGTGACTCGCAGGGTCTACTATGAGAGGCATCCATCAAGTCTATACTGAGTCGCATATACAAGTGCAAGAATAAGGTCGATGTGGTATCGACTAGTAGTTCGAAGTTTTTGAAGCACTCACAGAAACTGCCGAAAATCCGCTTTTTTACCGTATGATTACGGTAAAAAAGCGGATTTTAGCTTCAAACTTCGAAAAAGCTCAGTAAACTTCATGGTAAAGGCTCGAGATGTATAGGCGGCTTCAGATCCCTACATTTTTGCAAAATAAGCTTCACATAAGCTACGTTCCCCTCCCCAACGGAAATTCCGACGGTTTCAACCGATAAGCGGGAACTCGTTTAAGCACTTCACAGATTAACATGTCATTCAAACAAATATTTGTATCCTTTATTGATACAACAAGACATCTTCTTACAGAATGCGACGATATATAAAGAACCAATATATAGCAGATGGGATTAGGTTCTTCTGTACAATCGTTAACAGTAGCGAAGTAGGAATGAGAACAAACAAAAGATGCGAGATACGATGAATACCGGTTGTGAAATCCAAAGGAGGTCTCAATAACATCCACCAAGCTGTTCTTGATAAACCTGAAAAGGAGTATTTTGGAGAGGAAAATAGATAGACACGAGATTCGCCTCCTTCCCGCTAAAATCAAACTTGATCGACTATACAATCCACCAACTCTGCTCTGTCATTACGCGCTCATGCCCCGTACATACTCGCAAGACTTTGCTCTAACGGGTTCTGTGAGCTCTCAAACACTGAGGAAGGCTAATCGGTTACTTGAACAAACCGTACCTAATGAATCAACAACGACTACTCAAAAGAGATATGCACGCATAATCAATTATGGACATATTGAAGTATAGGGCCTACTATACGTGACAAGAAATTCGACTACGTTTGCGCCCACCCAAACATCACAAGAGTATAAGGGGTTCGCGCATACCTCGTGCGATTCAGCCACACGCCATACTTTATCCGCTTGATCCATCATCAACATCGCTATTGGTCAATAAGTAAGCTGACCTACAGTGGAGTGGATGAAGTGGATCATGTGAACTTCCGCTTTGATATTGATCAGTTTGCTGATCTGACCAATAACGAAGTGGATCGAGTATGGCATGTGCCTCAGGTAGGTGCCAGAGTAAGCGAATATTTTGTTCAGCTTCGTTCAGCTGCAGAGGGCGCGCAGAATTAATGTCTGCTGCATAATCTCTACTGCTGCCAAGGCTTGCTTCAGCTGCAGTCCGCGCAGAATCAACGTTACTCTGGGCGCCTTTTGCAGCTGAACGCAGCTGAACAAAATATTCGTCTGGCACCTACCTCAAGACGCCAGACGATTTGGCACCTTGCCCGATGCCTTCACATCCACACCAGTAAACTTTGAATGTGTGAAATATAGCTTTCGTAACTTGATGAAATACCCTACATTCCGTCACACAGACGCTCAAAAAATTATAATTTAGAAAATGCCAAATCGCGCGGCGACTGAGATCGCGCTAAGGACCTGGTCAGACTTCGCCCAAAAGCGGCCAAAATTCTCTGAGTGTTTCTTCACTTTCTCGTGTGAGGAGATGAGAGTGAGGAGAGGTTAGAGAAGTTTGAGCGCTTTTGAGCGACCTAAGTAAGCCCGAGGCTCAAGACGCTCAAGCAAAAAGTACTATATCTCTTCACTCTAGAGCTCACATGCACGCAAAAAACGCATCAAATAAAAATGAAAGTAATGAACACGCGATTATCAGCACTGCGCACGCGACCCATAATCCGTAGCCATTCCCATTTGATGTTCCTTTCTGATGTGAAAGTGTGAGTATTACCACTTCACTGTTAACAAACAAACTCGGAATCTAGAATTCCACTTTTTCTTGCCTAATGAAGCACGCTGATCATAAGTTCCTCACTGATTCGATGGTGAGCTCATTCTGAGTATGTAAGCGGGAAGGGCCGAAAGCGAGAGGCCTATAGTAGCTTGAGAGATTACAGCGTACAATTACGAGAACAGTAAGGACTTGCGTGTATCCTAATTCTACAAATAATGTGAATTTGTACGACGCGTATCTGCCAGAAGAAAAGCTTTTCACTATAACTTGATCCACACAGCTATGAAGCAAAAATGTGTGTGCGCTCTTGGCTTCACGTCAGTTGAACAAACACCGAGCCAAGTTTCTCCCAGCGAAAAACACAATGGGAAAACTAGCATTGCACTTTCCCAAGCAAAAAAAGTGATCTTAGCTGCTCGCAATCCTGAAGGTATTTCCAGAAAAGACCAGACTTTCAGGTATATTTTGCCTTAATAATTCGCAAGAACTGAACTTCGCATGTGTTTGTAATCGCTGGACTTGAAGAACTTCGAATTTCGAGTACTGTGCACATCGCGCCAAAAGACGAGCAATATCTTCCCAAACATTACAAACTTTCAACTGCATACAGCGATGAATTTGATTGTATGGACATAAGGCTTAACTTAGACATTGGCAGTCACTGAGAAGTATTGGGGAAAAACGATCGTCCATAATATTTAAAAAAAAAAACGTTGAAGTACCTCAATTACATCGTCCTCTTCCATTTCCAACGTCTTTGGGGTATCGTCATCGTTGATTCTGCGACCGTCGAACAGGAAGCTGAAAAGAATACACACTGTATCCCATTTACAGATGATTCTTGTAGAATATACGATTGATCGAGTTTGTTTTGTAACGAAGGAACGTAAGCAACTGATTTCAGTGACGAAGCGCAAGAGAGGATGTAATATCTGCTTATTATGAAGTTGTTGAAAACCTTACCGCAAGGATGAAACAGCGACACCGGTACGATCTGCATACGATTTCTTCAGCTTGCCCATTGCAGTTCCATTCTTCACGCGGAAATGAACTTCGTTCGAGTCCTTAACGATGCAATTGAGCCTGTTATTACTGAACTTTGTATACTATGAAAATGCGTACCTGTCCCACTACTTTCAGTTTGATGTATTCAACATTGGAATCTCCAGCGGCTGCTGGTGCATCGCTACTGCCGTTGTCTGCCATTGTTATACTAAAAGTATCACTTGGTTTATCGTAAAAACAGCAACATCACTACAGTTATCACGCGCGCAAAGTCAATCAGGTGACAAGTTGTGATGAAATCCGACTGAATATCAGGCATTCAAATGAACAGCGAGCACAAGCTACCACCTACAGAACTCTTTGAAAAACATTAGAAAAACAAGAACCCTCCAAGGTCTGCTCTAAAGCGAAAATGACGAAATAACGAAATGAGACCGAGAGAGTCAAGAGCAGCGACGCAGGGATTATCGATCGAGAACGCAAATGCACGTTTCCCGCCAGCACAGCTCTCGTCGCTGAATGGCAGCCCTTATAGCATGTTAAGCGCGTACATGATGGGCTGCTTCGTAGAAAACCTTCATATCGCATCCAATCGATAAGGGGCGTGTCCTAGTCACGTGCATGTGCAAGTCTCTTACTGGTCATGTTCCTGATTGGTCGAAAATTTCGAAACGAACAACAGAAAAATTAGATGAAGTTTCAGTGCATGTGTAGCACAGAGTACTTTTGTTTGCCCTAAGAAAGTTCGCTGGATTCCACGCTGCTTTCGGAACGTTGCAAAAAAGCAAATGTTAGGAAGTACGGATGTTACCGATCACGAAGGTCATTGTGACGTGCTACTTGGCCTCTGCACTTGATACGATAGGCTTACGGTAACAAAACCACGGAGTTTTAAGCTCAAATATTGAAGTCGTTCTATGTGCTGACCGTTGAGAAAAGGTCATCTAGCTGAATTCCTAACATCCCTTCCACGAAACGTCTGCTCATCTCGTTGACAGTCTTCCTCGAGGACGTGCTTCGCAAGGAATTCCTATATTCTTAGTGTTCATCTCGTCTGTTTATCATTGACTGGCCCATTAAGCTTCGCTTTTGCAAGGTATGCTGGGTCACGGAGCCGGGCTATTCTTCCTGTATCCACACTGCGACGTCCGACGAGATGTGCTTCTGTCGGGTCGTCTTCAGAAGGCTGCGCTCCAACGTTTGTGGCTACAATGCTGGCCCAAATCTGATGTGCGCGCTGGGAAAACGTTTTGAGTCGAAGGAAGGGTGGAAGCTCCGAGTCCATCAGTTGATCAGCGTCTTCCTTCAGAGGCCGGCAGGCGGTCCAGGTGCTTTTCTTCTCCTGTCAAATCCTTAACTAAAGTAATTCTCCATGCTCATCGAACGTCCGAGATACACTCAGAAAACGTCTTCATGATGTATGTGCCTTCCAGCTCAACTTCTTCATCTTTGCAGAGGGTTTTGAGGTCTTTTTGGAAAACTCTCAAAGCGGTCTTCTTTTACGTCGTTAAGTTCTTTCAGCATCGTCTCCTGTTCCTGCTTGCAAACAGGATGATGTCGTCCGCAAAACAAAGGTACTATTGAAATCCACCACCTCTCAGGCCTTCTTCGTTCCAGCATGACTTCATCAACCACTGTAAGGCCACGGTGAACCGGCGATATTGTGTCGCTCCGTCGAACCCCCTTCCTAAATGAGATGGTCGGATCCGTAAGTCTTTGTAGCAGTTGGTTAGCGTCCTCACACAAGTTGGCATACTCCTTGATCGACGCACTGATAAGATGGTGTTGGTTTCGACGCTCTCAAAGGCTTTCTCGTCGACAAAGGTTAGGACTGAAGGTAGTCGGTATCTCTGCGTACTTCTTTGGCAGTTGAAACAGTCATAGATGTGGTCTACGCACAGATTCTTTGCGAAGTTAGCTTATTCTTGAGACTGGGTTTGATGCAGTGTTAGAAATCCGAAGGATAACCTTTCTTCGTAAAGCTTTGCAGTACACTCAGCAGGAATGGGTGGGGGAACGAAAGCCGCCAGCTTCAGCCGCCTTTCGCGGCCAACTGGTCCTTTCGCAGTGTTGTTGCATGTAGTTCCAGGACCAGCAGTCCGCGGAGGCGGCTCAAACTGGCGGCTTTCGTTCCCCCACCCAGCAGGAATGAGTCGAGGAACGAACCCCGCCAGTCCGGCCTCTGCGGACTACCGGTCCCGCATCGACATGCTACAACATTGCGAAAGGAGCAGTTGTCAGCGCAGGCGGCTTCTGGCGGAGTTTCTCTCTCCCCCCCCCCCAACGTATATTGAACAGTAGTTCGGAAGATCTTCCCGCTCGCCTTTTCAAGGAGGACCATTCTTGAAATCCTCCGTTGGTTGGTAATTGTTTTTAGACTTTGTCCTCCGGCTCACGGAAGTTTGACGAGAAGATGATCTGGTCCAGGAGCCTGCACGTTTTGATGGGATCGCACTGCGCAGATAGAAGCGCGTTAGTACTTCTCCAGTGAGAACAGCGGTCATCGGCACGGGTGCTGGTGAGCAAAAGAGGCTGGTATAGAAGTTCACGCTTACGTCTCATGCCAGGAAGAAGTTAGGAACCCGTCTTCGCTCAATACTGCTGCCAGCAGTACGCGTGATATCCACTGTGGTCATATGCATTTCTTGGGACTTTTTTCGAGCTCCTTTTCGGTGTCTTCGAGATGCGTTTCAAGTTTCTTCCAGAAGTCATTGAGACCACTCGCCCTAGGCTCTTGGCAGGCTCGCAATCCTCGTGAGCTGGTCCCAGTCGTACTTGCTCTTCCTGATGGGTCGTCCACATCTTGATTTAAGCTCCCCAATCTTGTGACCGTCGTAAATGACTTTTCCCTACCTCTTGCGAAAGTGGGCAGGCTTTCTTGCTTTCGTCGAATCGCACCTTCGGTCGAGGAAGACAGTCATCGACTGCAAAAGTATGGAAGATCGAGCAAGCTCTGCCTTTATTGGTGAGAATGTAACCGAAGTCATGGCGCAAGACATAGGAGGCGTTGATTGCCGCCAACAAATTTGAGACTATTGAGTTGGCCCTATATCAGAGCCTTTCCGATTTCTGAGATCGAGGCAATGTCATTGAGTCTTGAAGAAGTGAGAGCTCAGTTACTGGTATAATGGTCTGCAACACCGCATAGTCAGCATCTATTCAGATAGGCATTGTTTCAATGCTGCATACAATCTCGGATTTTTTGAGTTTACAAAGCAATGGCATCTTCCTAAGTGTTGATCGGTTCTTAAAGGCAGTGGTGGCTCGGGAAAATTGCGACTGCGGACTTGACTACAGGGCCTTCTGGACCAGCTGAGTCCAGTACTGCTCTTGAAAAGTCAAAAAAGTGCTTTTTTGGCGTTTGCGGGCCTTCGAGATTGCTGGAAGGGCGGGGTGAGGGATTCACCCCAAATGAGCAACCGGCTGCAGGAGACTGTAACTCCACCTATTTTGGCGGCAAACTGTATCGCGATGGCTGCCCAGGCTGATCAGCCAATTGCCATCGAAATAGATGAGTTACAGTCTCCAGCAGCCAGTTGCTCCTTTTGGGGTGAATCCCTCGCCCCGCCCCTCCAGCAATCTCCAAGGCCCGGAAACGCCAAAAAAGCACTTTTTTGACTTTTCAAGAGCAGTACTGGACTCAGCTGGTCCAGAAGGCCATGAAGTCGTGGAAAGCTCGCAGTCGCAATTTTCCCGAGCCACTGCCTTCAATAGGAGAGTGTGCTTTTACAGTCGACATTTTGCAGAAGAAGACGATATAGCTGGAACATCAGTCGTATCAAAGATTACTAATTCCCTAATTGATAATTAATTAATAATTGATTAATTATTGATTCTAAAGCTGAACAAGTCTAAAAGTCCCTTAAAGCTAGTGGCTCGGCAAATCCTCGACCTTTGGTTCTTTCGCTTACCTGGAGTAATTCGACGAGCTGAATTTGCGGCATGCCGCTTTTGACGGCGTAAGGCTTGAGATATACCTGACGATGGGTGGCTATAGATGACGATAAGACGCTGCGAGCAGCAACGTCTTTTGTGCGTATCGATTGACGCCAGGCGACGCTGCTGCTCCTAGCTGCTGCAGCCAACGCGAAACAGACCCGCTATAACTAGCGATGCTGCGCTGCTCTGCGCTGCTGCTTGCTGCTCGTTGCTGCTCCTCGCTGCTCTTCGCTGCTACGCGATATGAAGCTCACTTTTGGTGAGCTTCTTTCAGCTGCTCCATGCTGCTAACGCTGTTTTTGCTCGGATTTGTCCATTTTTAACATATTTTTGAACTTCTGAAGGATTTCTAGAACTTGTTTCGATACTGAACCATGACAAATTTGCAAGACCAAAACGCAATGGGTCAATAAGAAGTTCATTGAAGAATTGACAAAGTCGACAAGGAATTGGATCCGAACGACTGCACAGAACTTTTGCGAAGCAAAAGTGAAGTCAAAGGAGCAACAATGAAAAGCTAGAGGATTTCAACGATTTAGTGGGATGTTACCAATACACCGCAATACATTAACGGCAGCTATGACCTAGATTGTTCGGTTTTTGTTTCAAGCACACATCAAGTTCTTTTGCGACACTCGTTTGGATATTTGTCAAATGATTATTTACTCAGTAGATGCAATACTTGGTTTGCCATTTTATGCTACTTAAGAAAAAATTGTTGATAAACAGGATGACTTTTTTGGATCTCATGTAATCATATTTTTCAATTTTGGTAGTTCTCAAGACTTACTTTCATAATGGCCTAAGCTAAGCATAGTAATGGGTAAGGCTACTTCGTTCATGCACTCAAAGCGTACCCAGCGCAGCAGCCACGAGCAGCTAAAGGCAGCGCAGACATCAGCGATTCGCCAACACCCGCTATACCTCTATCGTCAGGTATATCTCAAGCCTAAGGGATATCGCAAGCTCGTCCTAGCGCGTGTAAGAATGGCTTGCGCGCACGGGTTTAGGAACAATTTTTTAGACAGGGATTGCATGCTGTGCGCTCGGACCTGCTCCATTCTCGTGTTTGGGGTACAAGCAACCTTCCATATAATTCAAGGTGTTCGATTTTGCCGAGCCACTGCCCTTAAAGGCAGCAGCTCGCCAAAACCGAACATCCCGAAATTTTGACATGGAAGATTGCTTGCACCACAAACATGAGAACAGAGCAGGTCCAAGCGCACAGCATGCTGTCCTTGCCTAGAATACCCAGTTACGCGCAAACCATTCTAATACGCGCGGACGAGCTTGCGATTCTCCCTGACCCGTCAGAGAAGGCATGCCGCAATGTTATAATTGCGAGGTTCCCGCAACGATTCTGCCTCTTTAACATGGTGGGAAGTGCTCCACTCGTCCACATCCAAAATGAGAAGCCTCGAGAAATGGTGGTTTTTGTCATTTTCGCGCTCTTCAAGGTGGTCTTTGGGCCAGCGCCTTGAATTACCCCTGGTAAGCAAAAAAACATCAAGTCGAGAATCTGCCGAGCCGCTGCCTTTAACACATTCACGACAATACGACCCACCGGTGGGTCGTAAGATTCCTGAAGCTCTAGCTTTGCCTATATTATGGAATACGGGGTTCTGATACATGTTGGGGACACATTGGCGAAGCTCCAGCCAGAGTGGTCCGGGTTTGGGATACTGTAAGGTAATGTCACGGTGGGACTGTACATAGAGGTAAGGCACAGACTTTAGCTCAATTTCGCAGAGTGGTGCTATTTTTGAAAATTCAAGTTCACATGCACGATAAATACAGGGAGGGCACGAGACTGATGTCAGCCCATCAAAAATTATCGGTTATATTGATTTTATTGATTTTCCGCATTGTTCATCTCAGGAAGCTCAAACCTTACATATATAGCTTTTTTAGCATGCTGGTTACGAAAATGATAGTCTCAAGTTTTAATACCACCTTCTTACATCAGTTCCTTGATTCTCACGACAATTCTACCGTACTGCTACTGTAGTCCCACCGTGGGAAAGTAGTGAACAAAGTGGACACTATAATCGTGATTAGGACGTGAAAAACTCCAAAGCACAATTTCTCATGAAAATCCATGATGTTGGGTTATTACAGAATGACTACCGTATCCAAACAGATTTAGGTAATCAGCACCTTCGATGACCCTTGTGGGGAAATTTTCGGAGGCATGTTTTGAATTTCTTCCAAAAAGACTACCATTTCAGACAATACGGTATGGGTGGGTTGTGGGTCGTAACTTTGATAAAGCGAAGAAGGCTCTGGTCCGAAACGGCAGTAATCGAAAAATCGCCCTTGTCGTGAATATGTTAAGTAGTTTGCGAATTCCGACAATGGCGATTTAAACGGAACAAGAGCCAGAAAATAATTGCAAAATGCCTGCCCTTGATCTTTGTAGCATGGGAACTCAAACTTCGATGAATCGCTCCAGCAGCAGACTGTGTCAAACATCACCGTAATTCACAGTCGCAAGCGTATCACAGCTCGTACTAAATCAAGTGGCATGGACAAATGATTACTGCACACCTTTGGTCATAAATGCATTTCAAATGACCAGTAAGCAGACAATAATTAAATTATTTATTTTTGAAGGCAAAGCTGTCAAATCATTCTGTTACTGACGCATTTGCTGGTTTTCAAACTCCATATAGTCCTGAACATTTTACTATTGTTCTTCGCGGGAATTCAGACGCCACTGCTTACAATAAGGAAAGTTGCTCCAATTAATATTGCTTTGTTCAATACATCAAGATCCATTGAAACTGAAATTTCATTAATAGTTCTACAAAAGCGTGCGAAGTGAACTATGAATGTCATGAGGAAGAGATCAGTTTTAGTTCCTTCCATTAGATTTTGAGACGAGCAGACAGCAGGAAATGGATATTTTGGACGAGATAACCAGGCATTAAGTTGATGCAAACATAAAGACCGTTTTTCGAAACCTTCTTTGAGGACAAGTTTTTTTCATCAAAATCTCCTTTAAAACAGTTACAACAGAACACTGGGAAGCGCATGTTATTCCCTATTCAACGACGGCTTAAGCAGGTTTTAAGCCTCATCTATTAAAATTTGCAGAGCTTTGAATAACCACATTTAGAATCAGAATTTCATTGCATTCACTTTTTTGGCCAGAACCCAAGCGCAAATGAAGGCGCTTTTTCGAAATTCTAGTTACTTTATGTAAAAGAAATTGTCTACAATGCACAATCAGTTGCTTTCTTAAAAATTATTCAGATTCATATCAGCACCTTAACTGGGTAGCTGTTGCGGTCATTCTATAACCCACAGACTTCTTTCAAGGAGGCCAATCGCCAAAGCTTTGCTCATTCATGTAAATGTAAAAGTAGAGCATTCTGCTGACACTTTTTGCAAAAACATCCAACTGTTCAGTACCCAGAAAATCACAAAATTCTATAATTTGAGACTTCGAGGCCTACTGGAAAATGTTTTTTCTTTTTGCAAATCTTCTTCACCCAAGCTTTTTCATCTTTTTTATCCTACCAGCATGTGGCTGCAAGATAGGCGACTTTCCATGCAAACTAACAAACTTTGAAGGGACTTAGGACATGTCAAAAACAGGGTCTTAAATTTGAAAAAAAGGTTTTTTTCGTTCCAGACTTTTCTGCCCGTTTGTGTATGAGTACAGATGAATGTGCGCTGTATTGCAAAAGTTTGCTGCTTCCGATAGTGTTTATCGCATTCAGCAATGTAGAAATTTCAAAAAGACATAGCACACCAAAGTGAGAATTTGCAAAACGGCCACTATTTTTGCATCAACCTAATAAACTTCTTTACAGTGCCACCAGTGCTTCTTCCGCTGGTTGAAACAACTCTCTACCGTAAACCGTTTGAAACCAATATATTCTTTCATCATGGCAAGTATCGAATATGTTTTTCATGAGTTTGGAAAAACCAGGCTCATGAAAAACATCTCAAAAATTGAACAACTCTTCTCCTTCTTTCCATGTAAATTTGGAAACACTTCTTCCAAACTAGAGCTTAGAAAAACGAGATTGAGTGAATTCTTTTCATGACTGTCCTAACTATTTGTCAATTACATCACTGGATGTTTCGTTCCTGTCGTTTTCTGATGGTCGTATCTTCGTTCTGCTCTTGGGTTCTACCGTTTGATGCTTTGGCTTGGTAGTGCCGGTTGGATACGGCAGTTGTTCTTATTCATGATAGATTAAAGGCAGTGTCCGGGCAAAAAGTCGATTTTGAGATTCTGTGCTTACCCGGGGCTATTCACTATGCTGAATCCGAAAATCCACATTGGAAAGCGCAAAAACGGCAAAAAAGGGCTCTAACGCAGGAGGGAGATCGAAAGTGGGCGGGGTCCTCCCCACTGTGAATTTCGCAGTCCCAGCTTCTGGAGCGATCTCCCCAATTCCTCTAACACCCTGAGATCTCCACCGGCCAGGTGCGAATGCATGAGTTGAAATCGGAACCGAAATGATCGCTCTGGAAGCTGGGAGCGTGAATTCACAGTGGGGAGGACCTCGCCCACCTGCTGATTTCCCTCCCGTGTTAGAGCCGTTTTCCGCCATTTTCGCGCTCTCCAATGTGCATTTTCGGATTCAGCGTAGCGAATAGGCCCGGGTAAGCACAAAATCCCAAAATCGAGTTTTTGCCCGGACACTGCCTTTAAGGCGATGCTTTGCTATTGTGTTGCGTTCTTTCTTGTTACTAATCACTTCCTTATGAGGGCCATTCGTCCTACTCTAGACTCATTCTCTGGATGGATGACTTTTTACATCAAAAACGTTTCCACTTGAAAACTGTTAGGTCTGTTTAAGGCTTGGGAAGTTAGGTTGGTGATTACCTAGTCAAACCAATATCCTCGCTTGAACCGCTCCGACTCTCCTTGAGCGATAGCAGTCCCCACTGGTATTCACCTGTCATCCCAACTCACATATATGCAGGCATATAAGTCATCCACATTTGATCGTATCTTTTTCGTGTGTTGGGTAACACATCCTGTATGAGTAGCTCTTTGGCTCATATTTCATCGAAGTACGAGCATTCTTTTTATAATCCCCGAACTCTAAGACGACCAGCCCCATACTAACAGTCTTTACATAGTTTGGATTATATCCTGAGTGTAAAAGATATAGATAAAGATAAATTTGGGAGCTAGATAGATAAAACGAATAATAAGATATAGTCCTCCTTTCAAGGGCTTTCATACGGTTCTAATGAAAGTGTGAAGGTTTTTCTGACCCTCACAAAGTCGAGAAGACTTTCTATCAGACTTTCCACGATTTCCGCTCAGGCATGGCTGAGAATGTCAGCAGAGTAAATTCTATCGCTACGTTCGGTCAGTCGCAGAATCTTAAAAAAAATTCTGAGTGCGTATCTGGCACGCCATTTTATTGGTAACTAGCTGGCTTACCCGGCTCCGCCGTATCCGGACCAAACTTGGCACACATACACTTCGGGCCCCGGCGGGTGTCACAGTCCACTTTTCGTTATCGATCGATGTCGATTTTACCGATTTTTATCGATTTTTTGGCAGAGTTCACCTACAGGGCTAGGAGTTGGCACAGGGGGGAAGTGAGCATGGGGATTCCGAATACAATATTAGTTTTCAGAATTATCGATTGCTTTTATTGATTTTATCGATTTTTTGGCAGAGTTCACCTACAGGGCTAGGAGTTGGCACAGGGGGGAAGTGAGCATGGGGATTCCGAATACAATATTAGTTTTCAGGATCGTCCATTACTTTTATCGATTTTATCGATTTTTTTGCAAAGTTTGACCTGCGGGGCTGGGAGTTTGCACAGAGGGTAATCGAGCATGCAGATTACGAATACAATATTAGTTTTCAAGATCGTCCATTACTTTTATCGATTTTATCGATTTTTTGAAAATTTGAGCTAGGGGGCTGGAATTTGGCACAGGGGTGTTCGAGCATGCTGATCACCCCCCTTGGGGATGATCAGCATGCTCGATTACCCCCCTGTGCCAACTCCCAGCCCCCTAGCTCAAACTTTGCAAAAAAATCGATAAAATCGATAAAAGTAATAGATAATCCTGAAAACCAATATTGTATTCGGAATCCCCATGCTCGATTATCCCCCTGTGCGAACTCCCAGCCCCGTAGCTCAAACTTTGCAAAAAAATCGATAAAATCGATAAAAGTAATCGATAATCCTGAAAACCAATATTGTATTCGGAATCCCCATGCTCGATTACCCCCCTGTGCCAACTCCCAGCCCCGTAGCTCAAACTTTGCAAAAAAATCGATAAAATCGATAAAAGTAATCGATAATCCTGAAAACCAATATTGTATTCGGAATCCCCATGCTCGATTACCCCCCTGTGCCAACTCCCAGCCCCGTAGGTGAACTCAGCAAAAAAATCGATAAAAATCGATAAAATCGATATCGATCGATGACGAAAAGTAGCCTATGACACCCGCCGGGGCCCGTAGTGTATGTGTGCCAAGTTTGGTCCGGATCGGTTCAGAAATGGAATTTTCTATTCGGAACATACGTACACACATACATACAGACAGACAGACATACAGACAAACAGACATTCAGCTTTATATATAAGATATATTTCTGCCTTTTCCCCTGAACAAAAGTTCTCGGACCTCTCTCCGTGAAGTAAACTATGCTTGACATTTGACATAAGAAGTGATTCTTGTGTCATCCATTTTTCCCCTTCATTATTCTGGGCAACCATTCCCTTCACAGCTTGTAAAATGGTTTACTCCCACCACATTCAGTCTCTTTGCCCCTTACTTCAGAATCAATTATTATATGAGATAAAATGCATTTTGCAAGTTAGATAATTTCTCCGGAGTTCGTTATAGTGATGCACAACTGTACGGACGCAATTACGAATTTCGATCTTTTTTTCTTTTTGCAACATTAGAACCGCATCGTTACTCGAGTACGTTCATCTTGTAAGGAACCCGTCATACTTCGCTGAAAAAAGCCCAAAAGCTCCCAAAAAAGCGCCAGAAAGGGCCGGAACACCCCTCGCACGTTTTGGCACTAAGACATGCGTGTTGATTTTGCAAACGAGTCTTTTTGTCACTTGAGAGGTGTGGTTTGAGCGGTTGACCAAGATGGTACACACTTTATTATTGTACAATGGCCTACGTTTCGGCGCTGTCGCCTTCGTCAGAGCCTGGAAGTCGAACTCATCAGAATCTATTCCCTCAGACGTCAACAAAGGACACAGAGTACTATTCGAGAAAAAGCCAAAGAAAACTTAGTCAGAGCAACAAGAGCAATACTAACCTTAGCCAGAAGCAAAACGGAAGTCGAAAGACCGCCGTGTATGCAAGACTATGCCTCAGCTCTACTTATGTATGCCGTTGTGACCTGACCTCATATTCAAATCCGCATAGGGATTGATATGGCGCCAGTTCTTTAGTGATAGCGATATACTCCTCCTTTCTATTCATTTTTGGATTTTTGGCGTTTATCCAAAACGCTTCCAACGTTTTGCGCGCAAGGATCTCGGGTTCGAACGACAAGATTTCACCGCAATTTGAATTTCAGCTTCATCATAACGCACTATACGATGCTTGCCCAATGGAGTGGCTGCTTTTGACTTATTTAAGCCGTCTATATGTTCTTTAACGCGACAACAGAGAGGGCGGCCCGTTTCACCAATATATGTATCGCCGCATGCTAAACATGTGATGAGATATACAATACCGGATAGCATGCAATTACCCTCCCTACCAAATGGGCACACCACGCAGTTAGGAGTTGGACAGAAGCGATCGTAAGCACGGTTTCGAACCAATCACTGTTTGAGATTTGCGGGGGGAATATCGACTACCTTAACAACGCCTTGCAGACCCGCCTGATATACGCACCGTCGCACTGCGCTACTCAGCTCATCAGAAATGAATGGCAGGCAGAACGGAATTTCCGCGGTGCTGCTCGAATTGCGAGCTCTGCCCCGAGAGCACCAATGTGCTCCCAGGGTGTGCTCCCGAGCAGCATATTGTGGGTAACATGTACAAAACAGCTGTTCAAGTATCCTCCGGCAGCGAAGAACGCTCATGGTCCATCGCCGTCGCTCGGGGAATCGCGGCCTCCAACGGCTATGCTGCTCGGAAGCACACCCTGGGAGCACATTGGTGCTCTCGGGGCAGAGCTCGCAATTCGAGCAGCACCGCGGAAATTCCGTTCTGCCTGCCATTCATTTCTGATGAGCTGAGCAGCGCAGTGCGACGGTGCGTATATCAGGCGGGTCTGCAAGGCGTTGTTAAGGTAGTCGATATTCCCCCCGCAAATCTCAAACAGCGATTGGTTCGAAACCGTACTTACGATCGCTTCTGTCCAACTCCTAACTGCGTGGTGTGCCCATTTGGTAGGGAGGGTAATTGCATGCTATCCGGTATTGTATATCTCATCACATGTTTAGCATGCGGCGATACATATATTGGTGAAACGGGCCGCCCTCTCTGTTGTCGCGTTAAAGAACATATAGACGGCTTAAATAAGTTAAAAGCAGCCACTCCATTGGGCAAGCATCGTATAGTGCGCCATGATAAAGCTGAAATTCAAATTGCGGTGCAAATCTTGTCGTTCGAACCCGAGATCCTTGCGCGCAAAACGTTGGAAGCGTTTTGGATAAACGCCAAAAATCCAAAAATGAATAGAAAGGAGGAGTGTATCGCTATCACTGAAGAACTGGCGCCATATCAATCCCTATGCGGATTTGAATATGAGGTCAGGTCACAACGGCATATATAAGTATAAGTAGAGCTGAGGCATAGTCTTGCATACACGGCGGTCTCTCGACTTCCGTTTTGCTTCTGGCTAAGGTTAGTATTGCTCTTGTTGCTCTGACTGAGTTTTCTTTGGCTTTTTCTCGAATAGTACTCTGTGTCCTTTGTTGACGTCTGAGGGAATAGATTCTGATGAGTTCGACTTCCAGGCTCTGACGAAGGCGATAGCGCCGAAGCGTAGGCCATTGTACAATAATAAACTGTGTACCATCTTGGTCAACCGCTCAAACCACACCTCTCAAGTGACAAGCCATGCCAAGGTTCAAGGATAGCCGAACATGGACAATACGAGTCTTTTTGGTTCATTTTCTGTCGTCTGCACATCAAAATAATGTCAAAATTCTACCAAAAGTTCGTTTCTGCGTTCCGGCTCTTTGTCGCTTTCGGGCTTTTTTGGGCTTTTTTAAGCTCTTTTGGGCATTTTGAGCTCTTTTGGGCTTTTTTGATCGTTTCTGGGCTTTTTTTTCGGCAAAGTATGGGCTAATGGGAGGCCCTCCCCTTGCCTTAGCGAATCTCACGCATACGGCCCTCGACTTCAAAGTATAAGTCGGTGAAAAACTCACAAGTCACTTTGAATATATCTGCCTTTGTATAAACTTCACGCTCATATCCTCCCCAGACCTTTGTAATGACTCCTATTTTCTCTTTGCTTGTCGTATAGATCTGTATACCTATTTTGCTACCATAGTCGATACTATGGCATCACTCACTGGGAAGTGCTTATTCTGACAGCCGCACAATACAATACAGCAGGGACCATTCACTTCATACAATAATTCACCATTCGCGTCTCTCACGTCGAAGCAAGTAGCACAACAAGCTTGTCTTTGTTCAACTGTGCCAATCTTAATTAGCTGACTTATTTTAGCTTTGCACTGAATCCTTTGGTGATCGAGCATGTACAGGCCCCGTAAAACCCAATTGTCCACGCGTCGCTTTGAACACCAACGCGCGGCGCGGCTGGAAACGTTTGGTCCCGAAGCGCTACAGGCTTTTTCCGAGCGACAATGAGCGCGCGTCCTTTCCACACATATTTTTTTAAACTTTTGAGGGGGGCTTTCGTCGAGATATACCTTGCATTGAGGATAACAACATGAAAGTTTAAGAAAGTTTTTTTGGAATATAGTGAACGCCAAGTCGTTCGCGAGACCGCTCGCTTACGCTGGTGTTCAAGACACGGCGCGGGCAATTAGGTTTTACGGCGCCTAGAGATACCACATTTCCTGGCGGTGACTCGACAGAGCACTGCCCACTGCAGCATTGGATACAGGCACAAAGACCGAAGCATCCTGCAGTTCATAGCTTAAGCTTATGCAGAACAAATAGGCTTGTTTACCTCCTGCGCACAGTCTTAAGGGGCGTCGAACTATGATAACTTCCTGAAAAAAAAAATACTATTGCGTTAGTGATCGATCAGTTGCTCCTCATATAATCTGCACTAGCTTAGTCGATGCAACCTCAGTTTGCGCAGGGAAATGAGTGCTATAAAAGGCGCTCACTTTTAGCCATTGACAGTTCGTCAGTTCACTCATTGCCTCATCTTTGATTGTTTTAATTCTCTTATTCTTCTCAGTAAATAAGACTTGCTGCTCGTGTGCCTGCACAGGACGAAGACACCGAAGACACGTATCCCCGAAGATAGTAAGGGACACAACAAATACTATACTGATCTGGTCCAGATAGCTTGCAAATCTGGTCTAAATAGCTTGCAGAATTGACACACATGAAAACTTTTCAAATTAGTGTCAGGGCTGTGATCAATAGAGTATAGCAAAAACTGTTTTTGATCATGTATGTTTCAGACTAACGGGCATCCCTAGATCGCCCGGAGTGTGGAATCAACTTGCCTGACAAAGTGTACTCGAACTAGGCCCGAAGTGTCTAATGACATACCCATGACATACCCTCCTTTCGTTTTCTCTTGCTTCAGTTTGCTCTCTTTCATTCCTTTCCAGCTTCCAATCTGCGCTGAAGCGTTCTTGTGACTGTTGAGGTAGATCTGTCTGACTTCAGTTGCCTCATTACAGCATCCTCCTCACCGCGAGATGTAAAGGTACTGCTGGACGAGCGCACAAATTCAAGAATAGTTGAACAGGCACGAATGCAGTGTGTTCTTCACCTTTGTGAACTCTGGGCCTAATGCGCTCTGCCGCTAAAAAACTCCCTTGCATTTCTACGTTTACGCCTTCGCTAGACAGTAGTCCTACAAAATGCTTGACCGCCTCTGTCTGCTTGACCATGGGAAAATAATTATTGAAGTTGATTCCTGAGAAATTGGTATAGGGGACCAGTGGATCTATGCGAAAAGTAGCCTATGACAACCGCCATGTGTGCCGATATAATCGGCACCTCTCTTTGTAGCCGATCATTCTTTCGCCAGATTACCGTAAAGGTCATGCCATAAGCATGACCTGCTGTGATATGAGTGTGTTTATGGCCTAGACGCATGCCCAGTTACTTTGCTCCGCCTGTTATCCTCAGCATTCTACCACAGCACCCACGTGTGCTAGTCGACTATTTATAAAGCTCTACAGCTAATGTGTTCTGTATAAAACACATCACGGGCGCTATTTCGCCTCAGGCTACTATAAAGCCTACGAACCACCGGTACATCTGTAGCGGGTGTAGACTCTTCGAGGGGTTTTGCCTCGGTATGCAATGTAATACAGTGAAATAGACGAAAGAATGGTGGTTCAGTGGTTTATTGGGATTACTGTAACCGAGAGCGTGAGATTGTGACCTTGGGTGGTCAACGTGCGATCAAGAGAGAGGTAAGACCTCCCAGGTGGACGCATGGCAGACATGGTCCGCCCACTCGGCTATGGCGTCATATGGCACGGGTATCAGGAATCATCGACCGGTCGATGATATGGCTTGCTTATAAGGCAGCCAAATTTTGCCTGATTGCTCCAATCAAAAAAAAAACTTGCGAACATACACCCTTACAATTTGTAAATAAATTTGTGTCTTTTATATCCATAAATATGACATTTAACACGTTGACGGAGACGCGCATTTGAGCTGCCAATAATTTGAGATTAAGACGAATTCACCACAATTCCTGGATTGGTGAACCGTTACAAGAACGACGCAGTCTACCACTGATACAACCTCTGCGGCTTCAGAATATCATTGCATGAAGTGACATTTTCTCAATTCGGCTCACAAAAATCTTTGAAGCGATTTTGTCCCATGAATGGTACCAACACAACGAACTCAAGAAGTAATCCACACACGGTTCTCTGTCCCCGTGGTAGTCAGGGCTAAGCGTGGGTGAGCACCTACACCGAGGGAGAATGTCTTAATGAGTTTTCAGACATGAGACAGGGCGTGTAGCAAGATGAACGTTAGCTGCAAATAAGCATGCTATAGTCTTACGGTTGTCAATATGCCGCGCATATAGCCGTCCGTTTGGGGCAATATGCTCTTCGCTGGCTCGAGATGTAAAAGTAGAGCCCACTAAACTCCCAGCGTTTTTTTTTCAATCCTGATAACGTCATAGCGTAGATATCAACTTGGAGAACAAGTTGACTTACGCAACGCATATGGCTGGCACAACCTATCGTTCATGTTGGCTGAGTGTATGTCAAGAGGTTCGATTTTTATTGCCAGCCGGAGACAAATAGCACATAATATGTGTTTCAAAACATTTTAGATGCATTTGGAATTTGCAAGAAGATATGATAGATAACTGCAAGGGCTGTCAGTATCGCTAATACAAAGCTAATTCAACACATACTTGAAGTCATGTTGAAGGTCAAGAACCTTTCGAAGTGCAAAGAGTACCATATCTGTATATATTTTAGTCAATTTTTCATTAGAATCCGTCAAACTCGGCAAGTGGCAACTCAAACAGGCTTGTAAGCTTAAGCACTTATAGTTAGTCCACTATTTTCTGATTGGCACAGAGCTAGACTTTTAAGTTGAACGCCCTCCAAAGAAATCGCGACGTTGACCGTCTTCCTCTAGCGGTAGGCTGCCAAGCTTTTGCTCGATCCTGAACCGATCACTAACGTTAGGTCCTCTGAGTTTATCACACGCAGGACATCAGCAAAATCACTTTGATGGAGAACTCGGGAAAGTTATAGCTACCTCCGATATCGTGCTGAGCTAAGGAAGCAATGTAAGGCTTCTAAGGGCCGCATGCACTAACATCCCCGAGGGGAGGGGATCGCAACTTAAAAGAAAGCTTTATATTTCGAAACTCCAATTACCTGGATTTCACATTGTGTACCTATCCATAAGTATTCCTACTACCCTTCACTATGAACATGTTGAAGAGGAGCGAAAAGCTGTACGAACCGCATTTTCCAGCTTTTGTGTGATCCCTGATGATCCCCGGCGCTTTTCTTCAAAGTCAATCTTCTTTCTCCGAAGTCAACAAAAAACCTTCAATGTTGTGCACATTATTTAATCGACAGTGCTAAGCATATTGCTGATAAGAACAAATGATGTTTTGAAGTCATGAAATTTTCGATGATCCACAGGTCGAAATTTGAGGTTTATCGAAAAATTCGACTTTTCAAAAACCCATTTGTTCTCATCAGCAACATGCTTAGCACTGTTGTGTTAGATGTTCAGTACAACTTTAAAATCGTTAACTTCGGAAAAAGAAAAATGACTTTAAAGAAAAGCGTCGGGGATCATCAGGAATCATACAAAAGCTGGAAAATGTGCTTCGTACAGCTTCTCGCTCCTGTTCAACATGTTCATAGTGAAGGGTAGTAGGAATACTTACGGATAGGTACACAACGTGAAATCCAGGTATTTGGAGTTTCGAAATCTAAAGCTTTCTTTTAAGCTGCGATCCCCTCCCCTCGGGGAGGTTAGTGCAAGTTAGTCAGTAAGTTTTCCATTGCTGGGAAAAGTTTGAAGGCAGTGTCCGGGCAAAAAGTCGATCTTGAGATTTTGGGCTTACCCGGCCTATTTGTTATGCTGAATCTGAAAATACACTTTGGAGAGCGCGAAAACGGCGAAAAGGGATCCTAACGCAGGAGGGAAATTAATAAGGGGAGGGGAGGTGAGTTTTCCCCACTGTTAATTCACGCTCCCAGCTTTCGGAGCGATCTTCTCGATTCCGCTAGCCGCTCTGACATCGCCACCGGCCAAGTGCGAACGCGTGAATCAAAATCGGAATAGCGAAAATCACTCCGGAAGCTGAGAGCGTGAATTCAAAGTGTAGAAGACCCCGCCCCCTGCTGATTCACCTCCTGTGTCAGAGCCCTTTTTCAGTGTAGATATTCGGGCATAGCATAGCGAATAGGTCTGGCTAAGCACTGAATCGCAAAATCGATTTTCTGCCCGGACACTGCCTCTAAGTTGCTCTAGACTTACCCTTTTGAAATTGTCCACAACATGCAAAATAAATTTTCTCAAACTACAACAAAATTGCCGTTGTAAACAGGTTGATTCCTCGAAAGCATAGTATGCCTAAACATACAATGCGGGGAAAATCTGGGTCATTAGTAATATATCTATGATTCTTAGGAATAAGCGTGTATGTGACCGAACTTCTATAAAATTCACAATTTTGATGAAATTTCTTCATGAAGATTTGCGCATGGATTGAACAATCACTACGTAACATATAACGATTTACCATTATTTACCATTTAGCTCCCCCAGATCCGTGGAACAAGGCAAATGAGGATACAACAGACGGAGAAACTGTGATGAAATATACTGATCTTTGCCCTTGAATTGCTACCAATAGTGGCTTGCGTTTTGGAGTACAGTCAAATTTCATGACGAGTGACCGAAGCATGTTTTCGTAAAAGGGTCAGGGTCGCATTTCGAAATTCAATTCTGACTGTTGTTGCAATGACTTTGAGATCGAGTCGCCAGTGTTTGCGTATGTTATTTGTACAAACTTTTCTTCGCGCTTGTTATCCCAGAATGTGTTGGTCGAATATGCTGTGCTCCTATTTTTTTTGAAATGATGCCAAACTGCGTAACAGCATTGCTAAATTTATGTATGTTAATGCTATTTTTATAAAAAGTGCTCTAAAAACATTCAAATGGTAATCTTGCCTTTTCGACAGGAGAGCGCGGAGTGAGCGGTTCTCGCTGGTGCTTTCGTAAGCGTTCTTCTTCGACCAGTCTTGCTTTGCTTGTGTTATCCCGCTGGCGCCTTGCTTACAGATAGATATCGGTCTATAAGCCGCACGTGGGGGGGGTTGTTCAAGCAGGAGAACAGTTTTTTGTACGTTTGGGGCAGTTCGCATAACTGATGATCCTCAGGTGATAGGTACGGCAATTTGAGAATATGCTGTGAGTAGACGCTTAATTTCATTGTTTTTTATTGGGTGTCGTGAGGCAGTTTTTCTTATGAATACGGTCTTTAGGCGGCACATAGGGCACTTTCTTCCAAACAGACATCGCTCTGTAAGCGGCACGTAGGGTATTTTGATCGAGCAGGAAAATAGTTTTTTGTTTGTACGTTTGGGACAGAAGTGGCACTGGGGCAATTTGAGGATACGTTGTGAGTAGATGCTTAATTTCATTTTTTTTTCTTCTGTGAGAGCAGAAAAGCAGTTCTTTTTATGAAGTTCTTTGAAGGCAGTGTTCCGGCAAAATTTCGCTTCTCGGATTTTCACACTTTCGGAGCCTTCTCGTCATGCTGAAACCATATCTGGGCTTAGCGCACGAAAATGACTAAAATGAGCTCTTTTTGAAGCTTTCTAAATCCGCGTTCGCTCAAAACTACGTATAAGTGGGCGAAATCGGGAAGATTTCTGAAGTGGACTTTGGTCTTCCAGAAGCGCTTTTTCGCTCCAAACTTCACTGATAGATTACTTGGAGGGTCTCCTATTGCAACACTGTAAAATCTCAATACGATGACTTGGAGGGAAGATGCCTTTGAGCGGCACGTAGAGCGTTCGCTGCCGAAAATTTCATCGCCTCAAAAAAATCAATTGGTTATATTTCCTAGCCTCGCCAACATTGTGACAAAATAGCGCAAAAGAATTCAGCAGTCATGGTTTTTGAGGTGGGGTCTCTTTTCGTAGTAAGATTCCATATTCAACTTGACGAAATCCTAACTTGGAAAACTTTTTGACAAGTTTTGAGACAACTAATTTTCTGTCATAATTGATTATTAGAGAAAAGCTATGTCGGTTGTAGTATGCATCATTGTTACAGATGTCTTCCTACTTCCAAAATGATGTCTATGCTATTAATATCTCAACGATCTTCCATGAAATTTGCTGAGAGTAACTGGATGAAGCAAAGTTATCCAGAGAGTAGTAGGGTGGAGTCTTTTTTTATCGAATGAGTGACCGTGAGGCGAGGCGGGGGGGGGGGGGTGCGGAAAAAGCGTGGTAATCGAAACTTCCCATAATCTCGCATGGTCATGGCAGGGCTTTCGAAAAATGCTGAATGGTTTGTGAAGTTTATCGCTCTTCAAGCAGTTCTCCTTTCGGAATGCTTTTCCACAAAAATGCTCGAAAAGGAATATGTGTAGTCATAACTAAACCATACTGCATCTGCCCCGACCCACTTGCTAGCGACCCGTAGGGTTGTTAGTCTTCGACAAAGGAGGGATTGTTCGTCTCGCATTCACTTTCTGATGTACTGGTTCCCCTTGCTAAAAATATTAAAATTTCCTGGAATTGCTTGCGCTAGAAATAATAGTGATAACTATAAACAAACTATAACTATAACTATAAACCTTCTTCTAGGTTGAAAACTTTGATGCATCAATCTACTTTTAGGTTGAAAACTAAGTCTGCAATTTGTTTTCAAAAACTATTCTCTCTTCAAATATGAAGCACTGTTCATCGTTTTGGTCATAGTGTGAGCTACGACTGCAGCTATTGTTGTGACTGTTTTGCACCGGCAGTGTGCACGGTAGGCATCAGCGTGGAATTCTTAGACAATTACAGTACTGGCTGTTCAACTATGGGGTTTTTATCCCATAATTTGATCATAGTTACTGGTTTTGCATAATGAGACTTGATTTCCAAAATGCGCAATTCACCTTTCATGTAAAAAGAGGACTACGTCTACTGGTATGGATGGATTTCAACTTCTGTTGACCTAACTTCAGCAATTATCACAACTTCCTAGGACCCACAAAAAAAAGTTCAAGCAGAAAATCCACGAAATCAAAGAGAAAATTATTTAGTCGTCCAGCACGGCTGTTGACTGGTCTCGCTAACTCTCGGAAAACCCATTTGGGGAGGTCTAGCTCTCCTGACCAGCATCTTCGACTCCGGCGAGCCTCTTTTGCTCACAACGGCTGCATCTTTTATACCTTGCTGAGATGGTGCCGAGATGGTGCCTCCTCCTCTCTGACTCGTTGCATCCTCCAACAATCAAAAATTAAGCAGTTTGTGCATACTTGTAGTTCACATCAGGATCTGCGTTATGCTAAAAATGGAAATCGCCAAAATCAGGAACGGAAAGTTGTTACGGAATCGGTCGCGTGATTTAATATCAACCTGAAAAATGCTTGTCACCACTTTGACTTTGCCCTCCTATAGTTGCGATTAGGTATATCCGGTTCCGGCGGCCCGTCATTACACTACAAAAATTAAAACAGTAGCAACCGTATTCTAGTACAAGAGTGCTAATATCTACTCCATGACGAAGCCAGTCACCCAAATAGGTTGAAAGCATGCAAGGCTGACGCACGCATGGCGCGCGGGCAATTGTCAACCACGGGGCGCGCGCGGAGGGTATGGGTCAGGAGTCACGATTTGCGTGAATTTCTCGCGAAGCGATCTTTCTATGCGGCGTGAATTGGTTCCAGGCTGCACGAGATTCCCGTAGTATTTGGAGGAATTGGCGAATAGAGCATGTTTGTTGTCAGAAAGCAATGGAGCGATGGGCTGCGGGTCAGGAGTCACACCGCGCGCGGCGATTCTGCGAAGAGCGAATGATTTTTCAACGGGCTAACCGTCGCTTCGCGGCGTTGTTGCAGCGACTCCTGGCCCGTTCCGCATACTATTCATTCTCTCTTCACATTTCATCGGCCAACTGTTTTTAAACATAATTTCACATACTGCTCGCTGCAGCCTGCAGGTTAGAGAACACTGGGGCATGGATAATGTGAACTAGAGAATATCCGTTCGGACACATTACGCGACACTTTGTCCACCCGCATTGAGAAATTTTCGCGCGTTACTTGCGCGGCGAAGCGGCCGCCGCGCGCGCTGTGACTCCTGACACGGAGCCGCGCGCGGATGACCGCTTACACATCGTGCGCGTGCTCCGTGGTTGACGATTGCCCGCGCGCCGCGCACGCGTCAGCCTTGCATGCTTTCAACCTGTTTGGAGACCGCCTTCGTCATGGAGCAGATATTACATTTCCCTGTCCCGGTCCTAGACCTATATGTCAAAACCCTGCCTCCTCCGATTGATAACAAAAAGTAGCCTACGACGACCTCCCTGCTCGAAACGTAAGTGGTAGAGTTTGATTCGAATCGCTTCAGAAATGGAATTTTTTCTTTTATCAGAACAGAACATACATACGTACATACAGACAGACATGCATACAGGTGATTGGACATACGCAGAGACAAAACGTCATTGCGGACATTGTCGGCTATGTCTTATCATTCACTGCTCTAGTGTCTGCTGTCTCTCTCAAACACGAAATGCGTTGATCGGCCGCAACGGCGTCCAGTCTTTGCGTGTGTTGAACTCCCTATACTTTTAGACAAAAAGACGTTAAAGGTAGTTTCCGGGCTAATTTGAAGCGACTCAGTCTCAGCCTCAGCAACAGGTGCGATAGGTGGAGCAATTTCTCTGCCCCCTTCATTTTGGGCTAGTATCTAGATGAACCCCTTCACCTACGGTTAAGACTAGGGTCAAGGCCTAGCGGCAGAATAGAAAAAACATTTGATAGATGGTGCACACTTTGTTTGGAACCGCTAGCTGCTGTTGCTTAGTCAGTGCATGACACGGCTGCACTTTTACAGCGTTTGCTGAGAAAAACGCAAGCTTGAGATTTCCTCTCTCACTCAGAGTGGTTTTGATAGCGAATTAAATCTAAAATTTTGGGGACTTCTGATACTTTGCATAAGCAACATTGTTCAACGAATTTATATTGTCGCAGGGAAGAATTATGTAAGAGTAGAAAGTTTGGCCTACCCAATGATGGATGCATGTTCACTAAGGGAGCATTCAGATTCCTCAATCCCAGAATTTTCCATTTACATGCGAAGCCTCGAAAAAAGCCCCCATTCCAAAATAATGAATAAAGTAATTCACAAAATTAGTGTAGTCAGATAAAATTCCTCATATCTCGCTTCGCAGAACAGTTAGGAAAAGCAGACGATTTATGTCGATTCCTCGCGCTCTTCGCTATAGAATGGTATATGAAGCGTTGTGCATAAAGCTTTTCCGCTTCAAAGAATTCTTGCTCCGGCGACCCATCCAAGCCAAGCCAATAAGGAGCGCGGTGAAGCAGGCTGATAGCAATCTCC